CTTGAACCCAGGAGGGAGAGGGTGCAGTGAGCCAAGATCGCGCCACTGCACTCCAGCCTGGGCGATGGAGCAAGGCTTTGTGTCAATAACAACAACAATACAAAAAACAAAGATATAGCCTTTGGTATAAAACTAGTAGACAAGGACATCATCTCTGAACCCAACAGCATAACGTGAATTAAGACCTCCCTTGGTCTGCAGAACATCTTGATCTGGATCAAACTGGAAAGGAACTATCTCAATCTCTCACTACATGAAAAGCTGATATGAGGCTGGCACAGTGGCTTATGCCTATAATCCCAGCACTTTGGGACACAGAGGCAAGAGGATCACTCAAGCCTAGGAGTTCTAGACCTGGGTAAGACCCTGTCTCTACAAAATAAGTAAATAAATAAATATTAGAACTTTTTTTTTTTAAAAAGTTCATCCCTTATTTAAAAGGGATGAAATTTTTTTAAAAAGAAAAAAAAATTAGCCGGTGTGGTGGTGCACACAGGTAGTCCCAGTCCCAGCTAGCTACTCTGGAGGCTGAGGTGGGAGGATTGCTGGGAGGTTGAGGCTGTAGTGAGGTGAGATTATGCCACTGCACACCAGCCAGGGAGACAGAGTGAGACCCTGTCTCCAAAATAAATAAATAAATAAATTTAAAAAGCTCATACGAGCTGGTAAAGCGAGAGAAACAGAAGGTAAACAACAGGCAGGACCTGGTGGCTCACGCCTGTAATCCCAGCACCTTGGAAGGCTAAGGCGGGCAGATCGCGAGGTCCAGAGATCAAGACCATCCTGGCTAACACGGTGAAACCCCATCTCTACTAAAAATACAAAAAATTAGCTGGGTGTGGTGGCACGCGCCTGTAGTCCCAGCTACTCAGGAGGCTGAGGCAAGGGAATTGCTTAAACCCAGGAGACGGAGATTGCAGTGAGCCGAGATGGCGCCACTGTACTCCAGCCTGGCGACAGAGCAAGACTCCGTCTCAAAAAAGAAAAGAAAAAAGGTAAACAACAAAAGGAGACATACACTTTATAAGGACAACCAATTAAATATTAAAGAATTGGGAACAGTGATATCTGAACTGCTTGGGTAAAATTCATCCTGCCTGGTGGCCTTGAGCACTCTTGCAGGTGGGAGCAGGCATCCTAATTCTACCAGGCCTCTTGTTGCTGAGATTTTGAGACCCGGACTCAGCCTGTCATTTTGTATTGGATAATGACCATGTTTGCCCAGATGTTCCCACTGAGTAGAGGGGGTCAAGGGGGAAACTATATTGGAGACACTCGGATAATCGTGCCAAGCAGGCTGGGGGTTTCCAGGCTTTGGGGTGCTGGAATGCTCTCTTCCCCTGGGACCAGCTGGACTGGCTCTATAGTGGCCAGGAGAGCACTGTACTCTAACACTTGGATTAGTGTGTTCCCACAGAAAAACTAGAATAGTTGCAAGTAAAGAGTATCAAAGCACAAGGTATTTTCTTTAGTCTTTGTATTTAGCTCTTTGTCATCAAATTTTTTTGTTTCTTGTTTTGGAAACAGGGTCTCACTCCTGTCGCCCAGGCTGGAGTGCAGTGGCATGATCATGGCTCACTGCAGCCTTGACTTCCCAGGTTTAAATGGTCCTCCCGCCTTAGCCTCCCGAGTGGCTGGGATTACAGGTGCACACCACCAAACCTGGCTAATTTTTTCTATTTTTTTGGAGAGACGGGGTCTCCCTATGTTGCCCAGGCTGGTCTTGAATTCCTGGGTGCAAGTGATCTACCCGCCTTGGCCTTCCAAAGTGCTAGGATTATTGCTACTTTCAACTATTTCTACCATTGACTACAGGAAGTCCATTTTTCAATGACAAATGCAGAAGAAAAAGTTGTCATTGGATGCCCTTTCTGCCAATCATCCCAGGTTTAGGAGAGAAGAATGATGAGGTCATGGTCAGGGAAATTGATGAGGAATGAGCCTCTTTATTTCTCTAGTGCTTGGATATGTGAATCAATGCAATGAGAGACCTCGCTTGTGAAGAGCCAAGAAATGAGTGTGGCCAGAATCGTGAGAAAAAAATAGAGTGCTGAGCAACCCTTATGATTGATAGCCCTTGTGCTTTTGAGCATTTCACTCACTACTTATAAAATAACCTATTATGCGCCCAGTGCTCATGCCTGTAATCCCAGCACTTTGGGAGGCTGAAGTGGGTGGATCACCTGAGGTCAGAAGTTTGAGACCAGTCTGACCAACATGGTGAAATCCTGTCTCTACTAAAAATACAAAATTAGCTGGGTGTGATGATACATGCCTGTAATCCCAGCTACTCTGGAGGCTGAGGCAGGAGAATCGCTTGAACCAGGAGGTGGAGGTTGCAGTGAGCCGAGATCACGTCATTGCATTCCAAACTGGGCAACGAGTGAAACTCCACCTCAAAAATAAAATAAATAAAATTAAAAAATAAAAAATAAAATAAAAAAAATTAAAAAAAATTAAATTAAAAAATAAAAATTAAAAATAAAACAAAATAAAATAAAATAAATAACCTGTTATGTGAGAGCCTGGCAAGAAGGGATTCTCGCCAACTCTTTGACCAATAATCCTCCTAAAATAGGAGGTGGCCTGCAGAAGAACTAAAACCAGAAAAGTTTTAGTTCTGAGCTTTGTGGGATTTCAAGGGAAATTATCTATGCATTTTTATACCGTCCTCTCCTCACTCTGCCCTGGCCGGGCTCAGCGTGGTCTCGTCGATAGGGTCCCAGTGAGTGTGTTGGGCCTCAGAGACTGTCTCCTTAGGAAACAGGCCACCCAGGAGCCCAAGGACGTGCTGAGGTCCCACAGCTGGATGTGCACAGCCAGGACACCTGAGGTCCTCCAGCTGTTGGTCTTTCCCTGGGGTCTCCACCCCAATCAATCCAGCTTCCCAACTTCCCAGCCTGTGGTTTTTTGCCAAATTCCACTTGAAAAGAGCACTTGACTTATGGGGGCTGGGATCCCTGATGGCCACGCCTCCTTGAGGGGAGGGGCAAGGGAGAAGCCTGGGGTCTCCTGGCCTGGAGGAGGGAGCAGTGTGTTAGGACAGCCCCCACGGGAGAAGGGACACAGGACAGCGATGACACCTGCCAGCCTCTTCCCAAGCAGGAGCGCATGGACTCCTCATAGGTCCTATTACCCACCCCCGGAGGAGGCAGCAAGTTAACTTTGACAGTCCCGAATGGAGACCTTTGGGCTCCAAGCTCAAGGTTGGTCCCAAGACACACAGCGCATTAAATCCTTGTTGCACCGAGTAGAGCCCACAGCCACTTGAGGGCTGGAAGCTGCAATGTCGGGAACGTTTCGAAGCAAGTATGGCTGCTGCCGGAAGTGCTGAGCTCCCGGCGTCCCTCTGGGCGCGGACGGAACCAAGGGTGAGAGGAAAGGCCATGAGAGGAGGGAGGGGAAGCGGGTAGCACAGGGCAGAGAGGAGAGGCAGGCAGCGTCCATTTTCCCTTCACGGGGGCTTGGTGAAGACCCTCTGAGGACAGCTTCGTGCCCATCCCCGTGGTGGCCGCCCATGGAGACGGAGACGGGAACCTGCTCAGAGAAAACATTTAGTTTTCTTTTCTTTTCTTCTCCTTCCTCCCTCCCTCTCTCTCTTTCCTTCCTTCCATCTTTCTTTCTTTCTTTTGAGGTAGAGTCTCACTCTGTCACCCAGGCTGGAGTGCAATGGTGCAATCTCAGCTCACTGCAGCCACCACCTCCCGAGTTCAAGTGATTCTCCTGCCTCAGCCTCCCGAGTAGCTGGGACTACAAGCGCCTGCCACCAAACCCGGCGAATTTTTGTATTTTTTTTGTAGAGACAGGGTTTTGCCATGTTGGCCAGGCTGGTCTCAAACTCCTGGCCTCAAGTGATCCACCTGCCTTGGCCTCCTAAAGTGCTGAGATTACAGGCGTGAAGGACTGTGCCTGGCCCCCGATCTTTTTTTTTTTTTTTTAAGATGGAGTCTTGATCCGTGGCTAGTTCTCAACCAAGGTAACACAGGGGCTCTCAATAGGGTGTGGAACTCTGCTAGAAAAATCACATTATGAGAACAGTTATTGTGTGATCTCCTGTTGGAAAATGAATAACATAATATACATTTAGGAAACAAAGTGGAGAAAACTGCCGCAAACTCAGCCATGGTCATCCCTGGGGGCTCAGATTCCGGGGATTTTAACTTCCCTCATCCTGTATTTCTCTAATGTTTAAATGTTTAACGATGCGCTTGTAATGCTTTGGTAATTCAAATGACAGATGAAGAAAAAAATGTTTTCAAAGACAGTAGGTATCCATCCACCATCCTCTCCAAACTTCCAAAACAACCAGGATGTGCCACTACCAGGAAGTATTTATGCAGCATAAAGGATTTTGTCCTGAGCGTGTACCATTAATTATTAAAGAGAGGTTGTCAGTCCCATCAGATGAGTTTAATGTTTACTTTGAGGACTGAAAAGCTAAAGCGTTCAGTCCTTCCCTTTGCACACTGTTGGCTAAGGTGTTCATTTAACAAAGACGAAATGAAGGGGAAATGGTGTTATTTGTATTGTTTTCTTGACATACCTGAAACACTTTTACTATTTCTGACAGCTCCACTGCTTTCCTCATTTTCCAGCTTAGGAAAATCGATTGCTGTTATGATAAATCCCGATCCAGTGAGAAAGGGAGACAGAGCAAGATGCAAAATGAAAGATAAATGCAGAAAGCTAACAGCCTGGCTGGGGAGAGGAGGCCACAGGAGGGAAGGAATCACATAGGTGGCTTCCTGGAAGAGGTGCCCAAGCAGACCTGGAAGAGGTGGGTTTGGGAAGTGGGGAGAGTGCAGAGAAGGGCATCTCTGATGGAGAAGCAGCAGCCAGTGGGCAGGAGCTGCAGGGAGCCAGGTTGCAAGTCAGCTTGCCTCCTGTATCCCTGAGGCTGGGTTGGGGTCCCCACCCTGGCTGTGGCCCTGACCTCTGGGGAGGTGCTGGCCAGAACTGGGTGGCAGGCCCAACCTACTCCGACCCTGGACTCTGCCCAGGGATTTCTGCGGAAGTGACAAGGCAGGTCAGGGCAAAATCAGGTTGGACCCAGCTTGTCCCCACAGAGACGTGTGCTTCCCTCTGTCTTTGAGAGCGACTTGTTAACCACGAATACGTGAGTAGAAATAGGGCACTGCCTCCGTGTGCGCCGCTGTGCGTCTGTGGGTGAGCGGGGCATTTCCAGCCTCTGCCTGTGTGTGTGTGTGCACGTGCACGGGCCTCTGAGTATGTCAGCCTAACTGGGCTGGCATTTGGATAGAGTAGGGCACTCCCCAAGTGGGGAAAAAGGAGCGGGATCAAGAGTGGGGAGAGAGAAGGTGTTAGTTAGCACTCCTATTTACACCTGAGCTTAAACCTATGAGCTGAGCTTCAGCAAAAAAGGAACTATATTGGTTCTTGCAATGGAAGAGTCCAGGGGTAGGACTGGTTTCAGGTATTGTTGGATCCAGGGACTGGAATGATGTCTTTAAGGATGTTAAATGTCCAACTTTCAGAGATGGCACAGTGGAATACTATAAAGGTCTTTCTTAATGGTAATAGCTTGAAGCTGTTGTAGGGAGTGCTGAAAGCTAGGGCCTCTCTTAGAAAAGTACCTGTATCAGGTGTATATGCCTGCTGTAGACAATTCCTTACTTTCCTTCCCTACGAAGTGAACAGAATTTGCTGTTTTTGCCTCGAACTGCCAGAGTTGACAAGGACTTTCCTCCCACAGGTTCAGATGAGGGTGCAGGCTGGGGTGGTGGTTCACGCCTGTAAGCCCAACACTTTGGGAGGCCGAGGTGGGAGGATTGATGGGGCCCAGGAGTTCGAGACCAGCCTGGGCAACATAGGGAGACCCAATCTCTACACAAAGGAAGGGGTACCTCCTCCATGTCCTGGGGAGCCAAAGCTGCAGTCCCAGGCACAAGGAGGGGTGAGCTCTGGGATGGTATAGGTGGCCTCAGGCGGGGCTCTGGCTGTGCCAAGCACCTGCTCCCCCACGCAGCCCTCTCCCCTTCCCCAGGCCCCTGACCTGGGCCCTGCCTGGTTTGTCTTTCAGTTGGAAGGTCTGGCCCATGGAGAACAATCCCTCAAGACGAAGAGAGTCCATCTCTCTCACACCTGTGGCCCAGGGGCTGGAGAACATGGGAGCTGAGTTCTTGGAAAGCCTGGTCTGTGCCCTCCCCATTGCCCATCCCCACCCCGAGCCTCTTCGGCCTGAGCCCGGCTGCCGAGCTGGTGGGGCTTTCGCTCACCACCTTCCCTCACACCCCATGCTTCTGCCCCCTGCTCACCTCTTTGGTTGTACAGGTAGGAACCTCCCAATGCGCCCGCCTCCTCAGCCCCCTTTATTTCACTCATTAAACATTGACTGAGCACGTACTGTGTGCACTATAGTCTGAAAGGGCAGGGCAGGCCCCAATGAGGAAGTGGCATTGGAGGTGTGACCTACAGAGTGAGGATCAAAACCAGATGACGGGGGAGGGGGTCTCTGAGGAAACTCAGCCTTCGAGGAGTCCCCGGTATTGTCCTTGCTTTCAGGTGGCCAGGTCAGGTAGGCCACCCCCCAGAACCTGAGCCTCTTAGGACACCCTCCAGCCACCTCTGACAAAGCCCCTCCCCTTCACTGCCATTGTCCCTTGGGGCGCTTCTTTTATGCTATCATCTGCAAGAATACCCACCCACCCCCGACCCAAAACAGCTCCACAGACTGGGGGGTGCGTCGCCCTGGGGCCGTGTGATGAGGTGCCCTGCCTGGGACCTCCCTTACAGGCCTCCTCTCAGGCCCTACCAGCCACAGCTGGGTCGCAGGTGTCCGTCCCTCTGCAGATCTTGAGCTCGCTGAGGGCAGGATGCGTCCGGCACAGCTCTGCACGCAGTAGCTGCTCTGGGCCTGCCTCGCAGGGTTCACTTAAGTAGCCTTCTCACTCCTCCCTGTGCTCCAGCCTAGGCCCCTCCTCAGCAAGGGTCTCACCAAGGGCCCCCAGCTGTAAGTTCCTGTGGGTGGGTAAGGGACAGCCTGACCTGACGGCTCCCTGCTGGCCGTAGGAGGAAGGCCAGCTCCCTAGAAGCAACTCGGAGATGAGAGGCAGCCGGAGTGAGGCGGGGCCGCAGACCTTCTCCAGATGGTAGGTGACCTCTGGAAGGACAAGGGCGGCCTTCGGGGGAGGCTGCTTGGGAACAGGATGGGGAGCTGGGCCTACTGGAGGATGGGGGTGGGGGTACGGGAACCTTTGCTGAAGGAAGGAATAAAGGAGATTTAGCCAACACGCACAGACACATGAGCCTAAAAGGTGAGCCAAGTCACAGGCTCCCCACCTGCTTTTGAGTAGCTGGCATGAGATCCCGTCGGTAAATATCGTGGGCCTGCCCTGAACCAGGAAGGCCTCCCTCTCAAACTCCAGCTTCTGCCTTCTACCCCCATTCAGTCTCTGGGATACCTTTGGGAGTCCCAAGACTCCGGTTAAAAATTCTGATTTTAGCCGGGCGCGGTGGCTCATGGCTGTAATCCCAGCACTTTGGGAGGCTGAGGTGGGCAGATCACCTGAGGTCAGGAGTTCAAGACTAGCCTGACCAATATGGTGAAACCTTGTCTTTAAAAAAAAAAAAAAAATCTGATTTTCCACGGGGAGGTGGAAGCCCAGAGAGGGGAAGGGACCAGCCTGATGGAACAGGCAACGAGGGGCTGAGGTGAGCCTAGAACTCCGCCTCCTGCTGCCTGGGCCCCCTGGGTCCTTCAGATCTGGAGCTGAGGACAGCATGAAGGGCAGAGGGGTGGAGGGGGGAGGGATTCCATCTCTGCCTGGGCACGGGGCATGGGAAGAATCCCTCCCCCAGACTCTTAGGAGGTGGGAAGTGGGGACTAAGAGGGGATGAGAGGCTCCTTAAAATGGTACCTGGTGGGTTCCAATGAGCACTGAGTGGGCATCTACTAGATGCTCAGCCTGTGAGACCCCAGAGGCTACGGAGGTCCCAGCCTTTCCTCCAGAGACAGACCGTGACCCAATGACCCAGCAAGAATTGGCTGGGCCCCAAAGGCAGTGGGGGTGTGTGACCACCGGGCAGGGGCAGGCTGTTCCAAGCATCTTCTCTCTGGAAAGGGAGCCACTGACTGTTTTGCTAAGTGTCTCAGGTCCTGAGGGGATGAACCCAGAGCTGGGAGCCCTTCCACCTTGTCCCATGGGCAGATGGATGAACAACAGAGTGGGGGAGGCGGCCACCTGTGTCTGCCTGTCTGGCTCCCTCCCTCCTTCCCTTCCCTCCTTCCCTTCTTTCCCTTCCCTCTTCCCTTCCCTCTTTCCGTTCTGTCTTCCCTTCCCTCCTTCCCTTCCCTCCTTCCCTTCCCTCCTTCCCTTCCCTCCTTCCCTTCCCTCTTTCCCTTCCCTCTTCCCTTCCCTCTTTCCCTTCCGTCTTCCCTTCCCTCCTTCCCTTCCCTCCTTCCCTTCCCTTCCCTCTCTTTCTCTTTCTTTCTTTCTTTCTTTTTTTTTTTTTTTTTTTTTTTTTTGAGGTAGGCTCTCTGTTGCCTGGGCTGGAGTGCAGTGGCCGATCAACCACTTGGCTCACTGCAACCTCCACCTCCCGGGCTCAAGCGATTCTCCTGCCTCAGCTTCTTGAGTAGCTGGGACTATAGGTGCACACCACCATGCCCGGCTAATTTTTGTATTTTGGGTAGATGGGGTTTGTCATGTTGCCCAGGCTGGTCTTGAACTCCTGGGCTCAAGTGATCCACCTGCCTGGGCCTCCCAAAGTGCTGAGATTACAGGTGTGAGCCACCTTGCTCGCCGCCACATTTTGGTATGGTGATGAGGTTCTGCCTTTTCAGTAGACTTCCTCCCGAGCTCGGGAGCGGGGATCATCACCAGGCTAGTGGGGCCTGTGGGTGCTGCTCAGTTTGTTCTGCCACAGAGGCAGGAAGGGCTGAACCATTTCTACGTTTGTCCTGGGCTGGGGTTGCCCTGCAGCCCCGTGGGGATGTCAAGGCAAGCCCTGGCTTGTCCCTGTTGCCACTTAACCGGGGAGACCCCTGCGTGAGTGGAGGTGCTGAGGATCTCCCACAGGTGGGGTCCGCTCATGCACTCACAGACCCTGCTGGTTCTGTTCCCAGGAGGAAGCTGCAGCCTGCCCTGAGAGCCCGAAGCTTCTGCAGGGAGCACACGCAGCTGTTTCGATGGATCGGCACAGGCCTGCTCTGCACAGGTGAGCCCGGGGCCGGCACTACCCTGGACACAGTGATTCCTGCCTCAGCTACCCAGGTCTCAGGGTGGGGCCGTTCACTTATCCAATCACCCAACAAATGGTTGTTGAGCACCAGCTCAGGGCCAGCTCCCTTGCTGGGTGCTGAGACATCAGTTAAGCCAGACCAGATCTTGTTCCCAAGGCACTCCCTCCTCAGTAAGGGAAGGGGAAGAAATATTCCCACATAATGCAGCAAGTTATCTGGGAGCACCAAGGAGGGATGGGAGATGGTCAGGGAGGACTTCCAGGAGGAGGTGACATTGGAGCCTCACAGGATGAGTAGGAGTTAGCCAGGTGGAGGGGAAGGACGCTAAAGAGGGCAAAGGCGCTCCATATAGAGGAGTCACAGGAGCAAAGGTGAAACTGGCAGGGTGTGGGTTTCGATAAAGTCCCATGTGTGCCCTGTAAGGTCTGCAGGGTAAAGTTCTAGACAAGGAGTGCCAGGGGATGCGGCTGGAGGGATAGGAAAGGGCCCAGGATGGGGAGTGGGCAGGGAGATGGGAGAATGCTCACAGACTTGGATTTTGCCCTCAAGGCCACTGGGCCTTGAAGAGCCATTGAAGGGTTTGAACAGGGAAGCATCAAGGTGGAATTCTCACTGTGGGACCTGGACAGAGGGCAGGAAAGATGGGGAGAAGCAGACACTGAGGGCCGCGGTGCCTGTGTGAGAACGAGGTGGTGGAAAATCGGCAGGTGATGGGAGAGGTCCTAGGAAGGCAATGCCCACGGCACTTGGGAACCACTGGGTGTGCAGCACGAAGGAGACCCTGAATCAGGGCTGCCCCAGGGGCCTGCCGGGGTTGGGGAGGATGATGGTGCCTTCCACAGAGCTAGAGAACACACATGCAGGAGGGAGTCTTGGCAGGAGGGGCAATAATTCGGACAGTTTGTTGGAGGTACCACTGCCAGGCCATCTGAGAGGGAGAGGAGGCTCCCCAGGCACACTTGGAGAGTGAATTGAGAAGTGGGTCAAGGACAGAAGCCTGGAGACCAGCCACATGGAAGGGCTGGAGGCAGCCAAGGGGGCAAGGGTTTCAAGGAGGGAAGATCGGCAGCATCTCTGCAAGACCTGTGGGACAAAACCCGAGCCATGTCCCCTGATTTAGGGACAAGGAGGCTTCTGGTGACTTAGGGTGTAGTCAAACTGAATTGGAGCGAATGGGAGATGAGGCTGTGCAGACAGCAGGTGTAAAGGGCTTTTTGGATCCATTTTTATGAGGTAAGGCAGGGAGGATGAATGGGCAGGGGGTGGCCCAGTCTCAAGGATGCCTGTGATGAGTTTGGGATGGGAGACTTTGTGTATGAGCCGAGGAGGGGGGTTGCAGAAGGAACGGGAGGTGAAGGGATGCTGGTGCAGGGAGGTCCCCCGGCACCGACTGGAGGAGCTCCCACCCCATGGGGAGGGGTGGGTCTTCACAGGGCAAGCTCACCTCCCGCTGACAGGTTGGAATTGAAGAGGGCCAGGCATAGCAGGTGGCTCACGCCTGCAATCCCAGCACTTTGGGAGGCTGTAGTGGGAGGATTGCTTGAGCCCAGGAGTTTGAGACCAGCCCAGGCAACACAGCAAGACCCCCAGCTCTACAAAAAAATTAAATAAAAATAAATGAAAAAAAGAAAAAGGAGGATGAGTATAGATGGAGAGCTCATCATAGGTGCTCCGGAGGGGACGGGCAGTGAGAGGGATGACCGCAACAACCCCACCTGCTTGGTGAACTTGAAAGTAGGGTCATCTGCTGAGATGGGGGGGTCCATGACCCTCACAGCTTCCTCCCGGGCAGTGCGTCTGCGGTGGTGACGTCCACCTTTGGCACAGTCTCAAGCCAGGCTGCCTCTGCTTCCGTGGCTGCCTCCTTCGCTCAGATCCGATTTGCTTCTCTTGGAGAACGATTGAATTCTCTCCTGTAGAGAATGAAAATTCCCCCTCTCATCCTGTTTCCACGTTTGCCGTGGCTGTGGGGAATGCAGTCTGAACCCTTAAATGATTCCTTGCAGTGGTCAGTAGTGACTCTGTTTCTGGGTGACTTTGATTTCTCTAGCTTTTCAATATCTTTAGGACATCCCCTCTTTCCTGGGGAGGCTGCTCAGAGGCGTTGTGGGAGTAGCTGTGATAGAGAAATGAAGCTCATGTTCTCAGGACTTGGCTCCTGAGCTGTGATAGTGGCTTCCAAACCTTAGGCCTTCTCCAGGGGTGCAGCGACAGCCTGGCTCCATTGGACTAACAAGGATGGCCTTGGTGTCCCCAGTCTTAGAAGAGGAGGGTGCCTTGTGCCGGCTGTTCCAGCCGAAGTTCCAGTGAGGTCTTCAGGGACCTTAGCTCAAGTCCTGCCTGTCCCTGAACCAATCCCTGTGCCCAGGGGGACGTGGTGGTCTCCCCACTCCTGATGTAGGTCAGGCACCCCTGAACTACATGGGCTTAGAGGGGGGAAGCTGTGTCCAAATGGAACAGAAATGTCCTCGCACCAGAGGGTGAGTGCACCCCAGATGATGAAAATGCTTCCAAAAGCACATCTCTCCCTTTGCCCTGCCTGGAGGACTCCTCCACACAGCCCCCTCTCCATGAGTCCCAGTCCTGGCCTGCCCTGACCAGGACACAAGGCCCTGAGGCACACAGAGCTTACTGGACTCCTAGCCGCTGGCCCTCCCTGTGGGAGTCACCCAGCCCTGCTGGCCTCAGAGGCCTCATTCTCCACATGGACATCACTATAGAACCCCGCCTGGGGTTGTTATGAGGATTAATTGTGAAAGCACTGAGCTCAGCTCCTGGCGACCATGGGGTCTCTCCCAGGCCAGGCCAGGTCCCCCTCTCCTGCACCTCCCCCGCCCTGCCGCTGGCACCAGCAGCCCCAGCTCCACTCTGCGGGGCTCCACCCGTGTGTTTCAATGACACCTGCTCGGGTAGGAACTCCAGCCCACAAGCTTCCATGGGAGAGAATGGTCATTTTATTTTCTGTAACTCAGCTTACTCTCTCCTTCAATCTTGTCATTCCAGCAAGTGACGGGAACTCAGTTTCTGTCCAGTCGGAATCTCCCTTCTCCCCTTCCTCTGGGGATCACCAGGGAGGCTTATCTGTGATCACTCCTCCAGTGCCTCCTGACCTGTCCGCTTCCCCAGCTGGTCCTGGGTGCTCTATCCTCGCAGGTGCCCTTGGCGACACCCTTTTTTCCACGGTTGGCTCATTCTGGCCTCCTGCCTCTCTCCTCCTCAGGCCTCTTGTGGGGACCGCTTCTGCTATTTAGGTGCCTGCAGAGCCTCACTGGCTTTCCAGGACCCTGCCTGCCACACACCACATGGGCATTCCTCCCTCTGCAGTCCCGGGACCTCCCTGGGGCTCCACCAGGAAGCCAGGCACAGGCCATCACTGCTTGCAGCACCACAAACACACCCAGCTTTGGCGGCTTTGCCAGGCTCAGGTGCGTTCTCTGTGATGGCAGTGTCCTTGTCACCATCTGGCAGCAGATGGGGTGGGTAGAACTTACCTTTGCTTGTGATCTTTCAGATCACATTTTAAATCCATGGCTGTGAGTCCTTTCCATTCTTCGAGAATGCTGGATTCTGAAATTCAAAAGCCAGGGAGAGGCCTGGCGCGGTGGCTCACGCCTGTAATCCCAGCACTTTGTGAGGCTGAGGTGGGTGGATCACTTGAGCCCAGGAGTTCCACACCCGCCTGAGCAACATGGTGAAACCCCGTCTCTACCGAAAATACAAAAATTAGCTGGGCATGGTAGTGGACACCTGTAGTCCCTGCTACTTGGGAGGCTGAGGCAAGAGAATCCCTTGAACCCAGGAGGTGGAGGTTGCAGTGAGCCAAGATCATGCCACTGTGCTACAGCCTGGGAGACAGAGTGAGACCCTGTCTCAAAAAAAAAAAAAAAATCTATGGAGAGGCATCCCTCCTCTGCTATTCATTCTCTTTTTTTAAATTAATTAATTAATTAATTTTAAAGATGGGGTTTCACCATATTGGTCAGGCTGGTCTCGAACCCCTGACCTCAGGTGATCTGCCCACCTCAGCCTCCCAAAGTGCTGGGATTATAGGTGTGAGCCACCGCGCCCAGCTGCTATTCATTCTCAGACTTTCCTGATGCCTAAGTGCGGGCTGGGTGAGTGGCTCAAAGGAGAGAAGGGCAAAAGGGGAAAGGGAATTCCAGGAAGCATGGTCACTGATGAACATTTCAGATCCAGGTCCCGGCACACATGTGTGAACTCCTTCATGGAGTAGCTGATGTGCTCATCTCCCTCCGTGGGACCTAGCGTGGCGCGGGACCACAGTAGGTGCTCCGCTATGCCCAGCGACTCTTGCTGTTTGGCTTCACGGCCCCTTACACATTTCCCTCCCATTTGGTCAGCACCTCACAGTTTGCAAAGCCCTTTCACATGCCTTCTGCCTGGCAACTCCTAACTAGTTTTTGGCACAGTAGGGATCGTTGTTCTCATTTCCGGATGGGGAAACTGAGGCTCAGTGAGATTGGGTGACTTTCCTGCCCTCCATGCTTTGGGTGGGGTAAGGTGGAGTCGGTGGGTGGGGCTTCAGGGCCCTGGAGAGGCAGTGCCCTCGCTGTTGACCCCTCCCCTGTCTCATCCCCCAGGGTTCGCCGGCTTCCTGCTGGTGGCCTGCCTCCTGGATTTCCAGCGGGCCCTGGCTCTGTTTGTCCTCACCTGTGTGGTTCTCGTCTTCCTGGGCCACCGCCTGCTGAAACGGCTTCTGGGGCCAAAGCTGAGGAGGTTTCTCAAGCCTCAGGGCCATCCCCGCCTGAGGCTCTGGTTTAAGAGGTGAGTGAGCCCACAACCCCGAGGCAGGGCAGGGGAGGCCCTGTGAGCTGAGGGGTCTGAGGGGTTGGCCCCAGGGTTACGGCCAGGGCTGGAGGAGGAGGAAGCCTCCTGTGTCATGGAGAACTCTCTGGGGCCCCAGGGCAGGAGTTGCTGGGTTGCTTCAAAGGGAGCAGCGTCTTTGTGGTAGTTCACCAGTTCTTAGTACCAGTGACAGCAGGTGACTGTGGTGGATGAGAACTGGCCTCAGCAGTTTCTTCCATTCAGGGATCCCAGCCCATCCAGCAGGGAGGGCCACTATCAGTGCCTCACTCAGATCACCTGGCGGGGGTGAAACAGCCTCAGAAACCACCCCTGGAGTGAGATTCAGCAGGCGCCATCGGGGTCAAGGTGCTAGGAGTTTTCATTAGCCTCCAGGTGATTCTTATGTAGCCAGCAGTGTCCCTGGACAACAGTCTGAGATCCCCAGGTTTTCAAAGTGGATTACGTGGAGCTCTGGAAATCTCGGAGATGCCATAGGGCAGGAGAGGGAGGTTGGGGAGGGAAACCTCAGGCTTCCCGCCCAACCCACCATTTCACCAGGCAGCTCTCAATTTATGTTTTTATAAGCCAAGGTTCGCAGACAAGAAAACTGGCTAGGAAAAAAATGGTTTCTATGGCTTACAAAAGAGTCTGAAGCTCACCAGTCTATTTCAGTAGTCTGTTTTGTTGATGAAGAAGCTGGTGAGCAAAGATACCCAAAGACTAAGTCAGGGGGTCTGACGTTCCCAAAGTGAGACCCACATACCACACAGCAAAATGACGACCAGCCTGTGGATGACACATTTACAATTTTATTTATAAATACATTTACTGTTACCTTTGACTTCTCTTTATTAAGTAGATTTGTGATTTATTTTTACGATGGTCTTCTATCTATGACAAGTCATTGATAATGGCTTTCCACTTGAGGGATTGCTATGAAGTTTCCTTGAAAAAACGCATGCAGATAAATTGGACTTCCTAAAAACTAAAAGCTTTTTGATGCAACTCCCACTATCAGAAAAGTGAAAAGACAACCCATAGAATAAAAGATTTGCAAATCATATGTCTGCATAAAGAACCTGTATGCAGAATTACAAGTCAGCAATAAAAAGACAACCCATTTGAAGAATGATAAAAGGTTTTGAATAGACATTTCTACAGCCAAAAAGCACCTGAAAATGTGGTCAACATCGTTAGCCATCATGGAAATGCGAAGCCAAGCCACATAAGATACCTAGGTCTTCATATTCAGTCAGATAGCCATAATCAATAAGACAGATGATAGCAAGTGTTGGCAAAGATGTAGAGAAATTGAAACGCTTAGACACTACTGGTGGAAATGTGAGTTCCTCAAAATGTTAAACATGAACTTATATGACCCAGAAATTCCACTCGTTGGTATATCCCTAAGAGAAATGAAAATATATGTCCACATAAAAACTTGTGCACAAATCTTCATATAGCCTTAATTACAATAGCCAAAAGTGAAAACTACCCATATGTCCATCAACGGAAAAATGGATAAAGAAAATCTATCCATACAATGGAATGTTATTTGGCCATGAAAAGGTAGCATTGGCAAATACTACAATCATGACCAACCTGGAGAGCATTATGTTCAGTGAAAGAAACCAGTCTTAAAGAACCATATACTGCATGATTCCATTTATATGAAATGTCCAGAATGGGCAAATCTGTGGAGACAGAGAGTTGGTTAATGATTGCTAGGGTAGATGGGAAGAGGTGGTGGTGACCACCAGTGGTGTGGGGTTTCTCTTTGGGCTGACAAAAATATCCTGGGATTATGGTAGCGGTTGCACAAATCTGTAACTATACTAAAAACAATTAAACCATACATGTCTAAAAATTGCTACATAATATTAGGTGGGTGCAAAAGTAATTGTGGTTTTGCCATTATGCAATAAATTTTGCACCAACCTAATAAGTGTGCATAGTTTCAGGGTGTATGTGATAATTTCATACACTCATGTAATTTGTAAAGATCAAATTGGTGTACTTGGGATATCCGCCAACTTTAGTATTTGTCTTTCTTTATGTTAGAACTATTCAAATTCTCCTCTTCTAGCTATTTTGAAATATGCAATAAATTATTGTATACTGTAGCTACCTTACTGACCTAACAAACACTGAGTCTTATTTCTTCCCTCAAACTGTATGTTTGTACCCATTAATCGACTTCTCTTCATCCAATCTCCCTCTTCCTCTTCGGAGTCTCTGGTAACCACCAAACTACTGTCTGTCTTCATAAGATCCACTTTTTAAGCTCCCACAGATGAGTGAGAACATGCAATATTTGTCTTCCTGTGCTTGGCTTATTTCACTTAACATAATGACCTCCAATTCCATCCATGTTGCTGCAAATAACAGGATTTCCTTTTTATGGCTGAGTAATATTCCATTGTGCATATACACCACATTTTCTTTATCCATTCATCCGCTGATGGGCATCTAGGTTGATTCCATATTTTGGCTATTGTGAATCATGCTGCAATAAACATGGAGTGCAGATGTCTTTTCAGTGTATTGATTTCATTTTGTTTTTTGCATATATACCCAGTAGCAGAATTACTGAATCCTTTGGTATTTTTATTTTTAGTTTTGTGAGGAACTTCTATCCTTGAACCATACACTATAAATGGGAAAATTGGATGGTATATGAATTTTGACTCAATAAAGCTGTTAGAAAATACATACATTTGATTTTTGCCTCCGAGCCAAGATGGAGTAACAGAGACCAAGTTTACCCTAAGTGTTGAAACAGCTAAACAACTGGAACAAATACGTGAAACAAGAGCTCCTAGACATTGGACATCAGGCAATAAAGGACGCTAATCCTTGAGAATTAGGAAACAAATGAGGTTAGCCCTGTGATCTCCCCAGCTGACTGCCTGGAGAGCATTTCCAGACCACAGCACAGGGAAGGGAAACTGAGGTGGGACCAGGAGATTCCCCTTGAGGAGACGGAGCTGGAAATCCAGGGAAGCCAAGACAGGTAGAGTTCACGTTGCAGATTACAAAGACAGTTGAGAGATACACAGAGAGAAGCCCTCAGCTATGCAGAGAACCCTCCCCGAACACGCACCTGAGTTCTGCCCAGAGAATACAGATGAGGAAACTACCCTAGGCCTGGGAAAGAACCACCCAAAAGGAGAAGAGGGATTTGTGCCTGGAATCACACAGGGCCAGGAATAGTGTCTGTTCCTGACAGTCAGATGAAAAACCTCAGAATTCACAGGGTATTGTTTAGGTTTTGGCTCAGTGGCAGGGGAAAAGAAAAAGCAATTCTAGAATAAATGCTTCTCAAGCCCTGCCTAACACATCTTAAAGACAAAACCTGAAAAACAGTCAGACAGAGCATCAGTTAACCATGGCACAACTTTAGCGGCTAATATACACAACTGAAGTCTCCAGAGGAGAAGGAGGGCAGAAAAAAAATATTTGAAGAAATTATGTCCAGAAAAATTACAAATAGGATGATGACTGGACACCCAAAGATTCGAGAAACTTCATGAACCTCCAGCACAAGAAACCTAAAGACTACACTAAGGCAATAATCAGATTGCTTAAAATCAGTGATAAAATCTTAGCAACAACTAGAGAAAAAAGATACGTGCAGAGGAACAAAAACGTGGATTGCCGGTTGATTTCTTCTCAAATTGAGTGAGAAAATAGTGGAACAGTAAACAGCAAAATAACAAACGCCTCAAAGCCTGTCAACCTAGGATTCATTACCAGTGAAATACATTTCAAAAAAGAAGAGGAAATAAGAACTCTTTCAGTTTTACAAAGGCTGAAATAATTTTTCAGGCATAAAAAGCAGACTTGGCCGGGCGCGGTGGCTCAAGCCTGTAATCCCAGCACTTTGGGAGGCCGAGGCGGGTGGATCACGAGGTCAAGAGATCGAGACCATCCTGATCAACATGGTGAAACCCCGTCTCTACTAAAAATACAAAAAATTAGCTGGGCATGGTGGCGCGTGCCTGTAATCCCAGCTACTCAGGAGGCTGAGGCAGGAGAATTGCCTGAACCCAGGAGACGGAGGTTGCGGTGAGCCGAGATCGCGCCATTGCACTCCAGCCTGGGTGACAAGAGCGAAACTCCGTCTCAAAAAAAAAAAAAAAAAAAAAAAAAAGCAGACTTACGCTGTAAGAGGTTCCAAAACAGTGGTGCATACCTGTAGTGCCAGCTACTCGGGAGGCTGAGAAAGGAGGATTGCTTGAGCCTGGGAGGCACAGGCTGCGGTGAGCCATGATTGCACCACCGACTCTAGCCTGGGTGATAGAGGGAGATGCTATGGCAAAAAAACAAAAAAGAGAGCGTCTGGGTGTGGTGGCACATGCCTGTAATCCCAGCACTTTGGGAGGCTGAGTTGGACAGATCACTTAAGCCCAGAAGTTCAAGACCAGCCTAAGCAACATGGTGAAACCCTGTCTCTAATAAAAATACAAAAAAAAAAAAAATTAGCCAGGCATGGTGGCACGCACCTGTAGTATCAGCTATTATACTTGGGTGGCTGAGGCACAAGAATTGCTTGAAGCTGGGAGGTGGAGGTTGCAGTGAACTGAAATCATGCCTCTGTACCCCAGTCTGGGAGATATCCAGCATGTATCCAGCCTGTCATAACTCTTTAATAAGAAAAATAACCCAATTTAAAAATGGGCTCAAGGCCAGGTGCAGTGGCTCATGCCTGTAAACACAGCACTTTGGGAGGCCAAGGTGGGGGGATCACCTGAGGTCAGGAGTTCAAGACCAGCCTGGCCAACATGTTGAAACCCCACCTCTACTAAAAATACAAAAATTAGCTGGGATTAGTGGCAGGTTCCTGTAGTCCCAGCTACTTGGGAGGTTGAGGCAGGAGACTCACTTGAACCCAGGAGGTGGAGATTGTAGTGAGCCAAGATCTCAGGCTACTGTACTACAGCCTGGTTGACAGAGTAAGACTGCCTTAAAAAAAAAAAAAAAAAAAAAAAAGGCTTGACTGCATGGTGACTCACACCTATGATCCCAGAACTTAGGGAGGCTGAGGCAGGCGGATCACTTGAGGTCAGAAATTCAAGACCAGCCTGACCAACATGGTAAAATCCTGTCTCTTCTAAAAATACAAAAATTAGCCAGGTGTGGAGTGTGTGCCTGTAGTCCCAGATACTTGGGAGGCTGAAGCAGGAGACTCACTTAAATCTGGGAGGTGGAGGTTGCAGTGAACTGAGATGATATCACTGCAGTCCAGCCTGGGCCACAGAGTGAGACTCTGTCTCAAAAAAATGCAAATTAGGTTGGGCTCAGTGGCTCATGCCTGTGGTCCCAGCATTTTGGGAGGCCAAGGCAGGTGGATTCCCTGAGCTCGGGAGTTCACGACCAGCCTGGGCAACACAGTGAAACCCCATCTCTGCTAAAATACAAAAAAAAAATTAGCCTCGCGTGGCGGCATGAACCTGTAGTCCCAGCTGCTCAGGAGGCTGAGACAGGAGAATCTCTTGAACCCAAGGGGCAGAGGTTACAGTGAGCTGAGATTGCACCATGAGACCCCCCATCTCCAAAAAGAAAAAAAAGGCAAACTAATCTAGTGGCAGAAAACAGATCAGCTGTTGCCTGGGAACAGGGAGGGAGGCAAGGAATTACCAAAGGGGTGACGGGTATGTTCACTCTCTTGATTCTGCCATGATGGTTTCAAGGGGTGTACATATGCCAAAACATATCAAATTGAACACCTTTAATATGTGCAATTGATTATGTATCAGTCATACCTCTAATAAAGCTGTTAAAAAACCTGAAACAAGCATTTAAGGTTTTTTTTTTGTTTGAGACGGTGTCTTGCTCTGTTGCTCAGGCTGGAGTGCAGTGGCAAGATCTTGGTTCACCACAACCTCTGCCTCCCAGGTTCAAGTGATTCTCCTGCCTCAGCCTCCCAAGTAGTTGGGATTACAAGCACCCGCCACCATGCCCAGCTAATTTTTGAAGTTTTAGTAGAGACGGGGTTTCACCATGTTGGCCAGGCTGTTCTTGAACTCCTGACCTCAGGTGATCCACCCACTTTAGCCTCCCAAAGTGCTGGGATTACATGCGTTAGCCACCGCCCCGGCCCCATTTAAGTTTTTATAAAGTCAGTTATAACCTCAAGAAAAATAGTAAGTAAAGAGAAGTACAGTGGACAGAAAAACAAGGCAAAAATTATGCACGTTAAACTGGGATGAGAAGGTTTGGAAACGGGAGCAGAAATAAAAGCCGTGGACTCTGAACTTGGCCTGCATGAGTTCGGATCTCTCTTACCAGCTAGGACCGGCCTCGATAAAACCATAGTTAAGTGAACAGACCTTACTTCCAGAGTGCCTGGGTTGAAATCACAGCTCTGCCACTTTCTAGGGAGCGGGCTTGGGCCAGTTATTTAACCTCTCTGTGCCTCAGTTTCCTCATCTCTATGAAAAGAACAGGTCTCTCAGCATCGGTGTGGTACCTGGCATGTAATAGGTGCTTGGTGAACATTAACCATCATTAGTAGTTCCCAGTGAGTTGATGACCGGATTGGGGTGAGATCTTGAACACCTGATGCCAAAACCCGGGCCCCGCCACCCTGCAGGCACATCCTGGACAAACAAATCCCAGCCCCCGGGAGAAAAGTGTTGCTGTTAAGGTTGGATCCACTCCTTGGTCTCAGGTGCTCAGCTCAGAGGTCCAGACTCACATGATTGCTTCTTGGCATTGGCAGCCACCGCTGACAGTGTTGAGTCCTGGACGGCACAGGCCCTTCTTCTCCCAAGGTCAGAGGTGGAGCTGAGCATCACTGCAGTGGTGAGATTCCTGTAGCTAGAGGGAGCCAGGTGCTCGTCACTATGCTCAGCTTGGTACATACAACCTCTTATTTGATTGTCTCTACAACCTTGAGAAATGAGAGGTCTCTGGCTTCATTTGACCCATGAGGAAACTAGACTCAGAGAGGCTAGGTCACACAGCAAGGTCAGCCCTTCCCAGCATGTGGATCCAGAGCTGGTGCTCTTTCCACTGTGCTGTGCTCTGTCTCTTCCTCCCAGCCCCGAGTCCATTATCTCTGGGGCCCTGGGTACTGTAGTGTATGGTGAGGCAGGGGTGCAGTGCTGAGGGTGATGGCTTTCTGCCTCTTGCCTGCAGGGCCCTAGCACTTGCTGCTTTCCTGGGCCTGGTCCTGTGGCTGTCTCTGGACACCTCCCGGCGGCCGGAGCAGCTGGTGTCCTTTGCAGGAATCTGCGTGTTCATCGTCCTCCTCTTTGCCTGCTCAAAGCATCACTGCGCAGTGAGTGCTGGTTGTGGGGCCCAGGACTGGAAGTGTCTGTCTCTCTCTTCCACCCCGAGGCTGGAGCTGGGAGCTGGGGTAAGGGCAGTTGCTCCTGTTGGCAGATTCCTGGAGGCTCAGAGCCTGGAGAAGACCTGTATGCATCAGGACAGGCTTTCTGTGAAACAGAAGTCCTCACACTCCCCAGCAGGGATGTGTCTCTTGACTCAGAGGCCAGTGGGACATTTGTTTCCTTGATGACATGTCCTCTGGTCAGTCTAATCCTGGTCTTCAGGTCTGTCGTCTCGGGAACCATCTCCACCCCCAACCACAGACAACACAGGCCAGAGCTCCAGTCTGTCTGCAGAGCCAAGGGTTTCCTGGAATCATTAGCTTAAAATAGTGCTTCTCACAATCTGCGTACTAGACCAGCAGCAGCAGCGCCTCCATGGAACTTATTAGAAATGTAATTTCTTAAGCCCCACCCAAGGCCCACTGCATTAGAAACTCAGGGGCAAGGGTGGCAATCATCCTGCCAGCAAGCAGAATTCTGATGTGTACTCAGTTCTGATGTGTACTCAATTTTGATGTATACTCAATTCTGATGTGTACTCAATTCCGATGTATACTAAGGCAGCCATGCAGAAGGAACCTTCTCTCTCTCTGCCTCTGTGGCATCAGGATCCCTCAGTTTCACGCTGTGGCCACCCCCTTCCCCACGCTACAGCCAAGCCTCCCAGGAGTGTCTGATGCATGCCTGAGCTTGGACTCACTGCTAAGGAATTAAATGCTGACCAGAGAAGAGCAACCTGAGGAGCCCAGCTCTCGTCTGCTGGGTGGGGGGCGAGGGGCAAGGGTTGTGGGCACAGAGCCCAGCTTATGGAGGAAAGAGCGGAGAGGGTCAGGCAGACTGCGTTCACGCTAGCTAGAGGGCAGCTGGGCCCGGAGCAGTCTGGTGCCGATCCTGAGGTCAGAATCCTAGGCCACAGCTCTGGCAGTGAGGACCAGGAGACGACGTGCCATGACGTGCCCAAGGCTGGTGAGGTTTCATCTAAGTTCTTGGTTAGAATCTTGGCCCACCCCTGCCCCCTGCTCAGGCTCATTCCTGCCCAGCACGTGGCCTGTTCTGAATCCCAGTGAGGCTGTAACCACTGGCAACAAGCCTAGTGCTCTGTCTGGCTCCAGCCCCATCCTCCGAGCAGGCCAGTGCTCCTGCGCTCCCTTGGCAGCTGGTGCCCTCTGCCCTCACCCCTGCCCTGCTCTCTGCCCATCCCTCAAGGAGCTGAGCTCACCAGGACCTTTCTGTGGGGTGGGGTTGCAGGTGTCCTGGCGGGCCGTGTCTTGGGGACTTGGACTGCAGTTTGTACTCGGACTCCTCGTCATCAGAACAGAACCAGGATTCATTGCATTCCAGTGGCTGGGCGAGCAGATCCGGGTAGGTACATGGGGCCTGGCTGCCCAGAGCATCTTAGTTCCTGGGAGCAGGGGAGAAGCCACTTGGCAGGGGAAAAGGTGGGTGGTGAGGCCATAGAGAAGGCTTGGGACCGGGAGGGTGGGGCGGACCGGGACCCCAGACCCAGTGGGCAGTGGGTGGCTGGGCATCGCAGCTGCCACTTCCCTCATGCCTGGCACCAAGGACCCAGTGGAGTAATCCTTTCAGAGGCTGGGTCTGTAGTCAGCGATGACTTGGAAATTGTAATAATTAAAAGTGCTAAAAAAAAAATCCCCCAAAATCTGCAAATGATTTACTTGTGTATATGTATGTTTTAAAATAATGTTTATTGAAGTTATACATTTTTATTCTGTTTTCGTTTTGTTTTGTGACAGAGTCTCTCTCCGTCGCCCAGGCTGGAGTGCAATGGTGCAGTCTCGGCTCACTGCAACCTCTGCCTCCTGGGGTTAAGCAATTCTCTGCCTCAGCCTGCCCAGTAGCTGGGATTTCAGGCACTCACCACCATGCCTGGCTAATGTTTGTGTTTTTAGTAGAGAGGGGGTTTCACTGTGTTGGCCAGGCTGATCTCGAACTCCTGACCTCTGTCGATTCACCTGCCTCGGCCTCCCAAAGTGCTGGGATTACAGGTGTGAGCCACTGCGCCCAGCCCCATTTTGTTTTGTTTTGTTTGAGACAGTCTTGCTCTGACATCCAGGCTGGAGTGCAGTGGTGTGAACTTCATCCTTGACATCCTGGGCTCAAGTGATCCTCCCACCTTGACCTCCGCAGTATTGAGTATCTGGGACTACAGGTGTGAGCCACCATGCCAAGCTAATTAAAACTATTTTTTGAGGGGATACAGAGTCTTCCTGTGTTTCCCAGGCTGGTCTCAAACTCCTGGGTTCAAGTGATCTTCTCACCTTGAGCCACAGGGTGCCCAGCCAATTCTGTTTTTTACTGTAGTAAAATCTATATAACATAAAATCTACCATTTTAACTATTTTTAAGTGTCATCAAATTCATGCACACTGTCATGATTTACTTTTGTCCAAAGAAAATTACAACAAATTTGGTTTAAAGATCCGAATTGGCTTTTATTTGTGATTTTAGAACCAGGCAATGCCGCATTCTATAAAAATAGAGTGAGTGTTCCTTCCGATGAGCTGAGCAGACGAGGCTGGCTTTATACACAGAGAAGGGCTGAAGAAAGCAGCAACAAAACACAGAAAGCAGCTTGGTTGTTTCAAGGTTATTTTCCCTGTAAAGGTCAAAGCTGAGGGACTGGCTGTCACACCACATTTGGGGATTCGGCTTTATCTCTCATCCTCCTGAATTTTGGGAAGGTCAGAAAACAACTTGGTTTTGACTTGTGGTGTGGAACTTTGTGGCATGAGCGATTCCATTTTGGTTGGTCTGTTGGGCCTAGTACAGGAGCTCAGTCCAAACCAGCGGTCTCCATTATTTAACGCTTAGAATTTTTTTTAGAAAAGCTATTTGTTTGTTGATTTATTTTGAGACCAGGTTATTATGAAACTGACTAAGTTTTAGATTTTTGGTAGAGACAGGGTTTCACCATGTTGCCAAGGCTGGTCTCGAAGTCCTGGTCTCAAGTGATCTGCCTGCCTTGGCTTCCCAAAGTGCTGGGGTTACAGGCATAAGCCACCACACTGGCCTCTTTTTTTTTTTTTTCGAGAAAGGGTTTCACTTCCGTGAAAGTGCAGTGGGGTGATCTTGGCTTACTGCATCCTCAGCCTCCTGGACTCGAGGGATCCTCCCACTTCAGCCTACCGAGTAGCTGGGACTACAGGAATGGGCCACTACACCCAGCTAATTTTTGTATTTTTAACACTTTAAAAAATATGAATTGTCAGGGACATAGGTTAAATAGGTTAATCTACTTACCTCCCTCTCACCAGCTTGCATTTCCCTGTGCTCTGTGCAGGGTGGAGCATGAGAACCTGCCGGTCCCAGGCTGTGCACACCTGCTGGCCTCACTAACAGTACTCCATGGGGTGTGGAGGGAAAGACAGAGAGTTGCTTTTCTGATCATGTCCCCACTTTATAGATGGGAACACTGAGGCTGAACACGAGAAGTGACTCGCTGGCCCTGCAGTCACAACGCAAGTTCAGGATATAACACAGGGCTCCTGTGGAAGCAAGGCTGGGCTCAGACTCCAAGGCCACAAGCTGGGGATGGGGACAAGATGAGGGGACGTTTTGCCATTGGTTGTCAGGGGCCTGAGCAGGCACAAAAGGCACCGCCTTCTTCACATGTCTCCTGGTCGTGTGGCTTCCATTGTCTCTTCTTCATTGTCCTAACAACTCTCAGAGCATTTATTTATTTATTTATTTATTTTTGAGATGAAGTCTTGCTCTGTTGCCCAAGCTGTAGTACAGTGGTGTGATCTTGGCACCTCTGCCTCCTGGGTTCAAGTGATTCTCCTGCCTCAGCCTCCCTAGTAGCTGAGAGTACAGGTGCCCACCACCATGCTTGGCTAATTTTTGTATTTTTAGCAGAGACAGGGTTTCACCATGTTGGCCAGACTGGTCTCGAACTCCTGACCTCAGGTGATCCGCCCACCTCGGCCTCCCAAAGTGCTGGGATTACAGGTGTGAGCAACCACACCTGGCCTACAGAGCATTTCTTTAAAATTGACTGACACGGTGTCTCTTTGGTAAATGTGCTTAGAAGCCAGTGCTCGTGACGGTAGCTCTAACACTCCTTGCCAGGTGGTACCCACCCGATAATGGCCTAGGGGACCGTCCCTGGGCCAACCTGCTTGTCTCTGGCTGCTGCTTCCTCCCTCCTCCCTTCCCAGCCTCACTGCCTGTTTTTGTTTGTTTTGCTTTTTTCTTTCAGATCTTCCTGAGCTACACGGAGGCCGGCTCCAGCTTCGTGTTTGGGGAGGCCCTGGTCAAGGATGTCTTTGCCTTTCAGGTCAGCTTGACTCAGGGTCCCGGAGGCCTTTAGCAGCCGCTGCCCAGCGCCTCCAGCAAGAGGGGAGTCTGGGCACGGTGGGTGCCCAGGTGGAGGGGACGGGTCCTGTGAGCAGATGTTGCTGTACTGGGAAGCTAGCGAAGCTTAAGCCTGGGGCCCTGGGAGGGCCCCAGCAATGTGCACCTCATGAGATGTTTTTCGCTATATTTTGTAAAATTTGCAAAAGTAAGATATTTCTGTGTGCTCTTCCTTAGAGAGGAACCTCCAGGTTATAGAATTACTGAGTGGCTGAGGATAAGAAGTCGGGGGAGGGGTTGTGGGGATAGCTCCCGCTGAGACTTGAGCCCCTGAAGTCTGCAGAGACTCTGGGCCTAGGACGAGCGGTTTCCGGGAAGGCTTAGGCTCCTGCGATCCTCTAGGGGTTGGGCGGGGGGGGGGGGGGGGGGGGGGGGGGGCGCGTTCCTCCTTCAGGGCTCCTCACAGGCCACCTCTGCCAGGAAGCCAGCCCTTATTAGTCCAGCAGTGACAGCTCCCTTCTCTGTGTTCTCCTAGAGGTAGGATCCCGCTTTCCCTCCCTCCCTCCCTGCTTCCGTCCATCCTTCCTTTTTTTCTTCCAACAAAAATCGATTGTGCATTTACAGCACTGCAGAATATTACAGGGGAAATGAAGATAAAGACACTGTTCTGTCTCAGAGAGCTTATTGTCTAATGGTGGAGCCCCAGCCCTAATTTAAACACAGAGCAGCCTGTGCCCGGGATGCTGTGGGGGGACCCACTTCACTGTTCTGGGTGGGGCTGTGGTTGTGTTTCTTTTTTCCCCAGTTAACTGTTTAAGCACCAAAATGTCTTGTTTAGTAAGAACTATAGGGGAGCCCTCCTCTACCTGCCTTACACTCAAATTGTCTAAGACCCTGAGGCTTGCTCTAGGCTTAAGCTCCACGTGGCTAGGCAAAAGAGAGAGAGAGAGGCCTGGGGCCCCACTCACCCAGTAGCTGGCCCCCGTTTTCTGCCACCAACGCATGGCACGTAGAGGGAAATCAGGGCAGCTCACTCTGGTACATTCGGGACCACCATCACCATGGAGCTGCTATGCAAGACCCTGTGTGCAGGTTCCAGAGGTTTCTGCTATTTTCATTATGCAGGCCACTGTTCCCAGAGCCTCCTCACCCTCCTGGGAGTGTTGGACCCAGAAGACTTTTGGCCTAAGCCATGGACTTGGCTATGGACTTCTGGGCTGGCGTTGAGCCAGGTCCCTGACCCTGACCTCTGGCGAGTTCCCCTTGGGGCCTTAGCATCTGTTGTGCCAGCAGACTCCCTGGGGGATATTCAGTCTAACGTTGTCAGCCCTAAGAGGAAAGTGGGGGAGGCCAGGTTCCTGTCTTCTCTGAAGTCTTCTTGCCCCCCTGGGTGAATTTGCCCATCATATTTTCTGAAACCAGTTCTGCACAGGGAGGATATTGGGAGGGGCAGCCTCTGTCAGTTCCGAAAAGGTCCCTAATACCATATTCCTTTAGGGTAACAGGCACTACTCCCTTACCTTGACATAATCAATGTGGGGGTACCCAAGGTTTCAGAAAAGAGCAGTAAGATCTGCTTCAGGGTGAATTCCCATGTCCACCCAAGCAGGGAGGCTCCCACAGCTTCTCACACTTTAAAACACACACACCCGGCCGGGGTGGTGGCTCACACCTGTAATCCCAGCACTCTGGGAGGCCAAGGTGGGTGGATCACTTGAGGTCAGGAATTCGAGACCAGCCTGACCAACATGGAGAAACACTGACTCTACTAAATACAAAATTAGCTGGGTGTGGTGGAGCATGCCTGTAATCCCAGCTGCTAAGGAGGCGGAGGCAGGAGAATCACTTGAACCCGGGAGATGGAGGTTGCGGTGAGCAGAGATTGAACCATTGCACTCCACCAGGGCAAGAGTGAAACTCCGTGTCAAAAAACAAACAAACAAAAAAAAAACATACACACACACATACATCCGACACTCTGCAGTTCAATCTCCCCAGGCAGCTGTGTTCAAGTTTAATAATGGAGAAGCCTGAGGAGTACCTATAGGAGAGATTGTTCTAATAAGGGACCGTGAGGAAGACTCCTTGAGGAGGTGGCATTTGATATAGAGTTTAGGACAGAAGAGATTTGGACACACGGAGCCAGGCAGGAAGAGGAAATGGGATGGGCAAAGCATGGAGGTGAGAACGTGTTGGCCTGTCCCCGATACAGGGTGCAGTGGATGGGCGTATAAGCTGTTTCCCAAAGGGAAATGACAGCCTTGTTAGCCAAAGAGGCGGGGAAGAGGTGCTGAGCAGGCCACGTGGCTGCTCTCCGCCGGAGCCCTCAGCCGGTGTCTCTTCTGCGTCATTGCTGGGCTGGCCTCTGTGTCTGGCCCCTGGCCACATTCGCTGTGTCTCCTCACGTCCTGCCTCCCTCTTTGGAAGGATGTGTGCACACCTGCTGCTTGCATTTCTTCCCGAATCACCCTTTAGAATCATGGATTCCTGGACCGTGTGCACCAGGAGAAAGCTCGGTGGTGTTTGGGCCTCCTTTTTGTATTACAGGTGGTCCAACCAGGCCCCAGAGGGGAGCAGTGGACTGGCTGCGGTGGCACAGTGAGTTAGGGCAGAGCCAGAACTAGACCCCTCCACTGGACTTCCGGTGAGGGGATGTATTCTTCCTCACACTGTCAGCGGAAATCAGTGGCCTCATGTCTCTCCTCCAAACACAAAAACACTCTGAATAACAAAAATGATCATTTAAAAATGTGTCAATTAGGCCAGGCATGGTGGCTCCTGCCTGTAGTCCCAGTACTTTGGGAACCTGAGGTGGTTGGATCACTTGAGGTCAGGAGTTCGAGACCAGCCTGGCCAATGGTGAAACCCCATCTCTACTAAAAATAGAAAAATTAGCCAGGCGCGGTGGTGGACACTTGTAATTCCAGCTACTCAGGAGGCTGAGGTAGGAGAATGACTTGAACCCAGGAGGCAGAGGTTGCAGTGAGCTGAGATGGCACCACTGCACTGCAGCCTGGGCAACACAGTAAGACTCCATCCCCAAAAAAGAAAATAAAAGTAAAATAAAATTGTATCAGTGGTGGCAAAAAACTTGGAAATGAATGTTCAGTTAAGACAGAAACAATAGTGGGGTGGGCTTATCATTGACCAGCATTTCCCAGACAAACACTGTAGTTTCCTGACCCTTGGAGGCCCTATCCTCTGGACAAATTCCTGGACAGTGTATCGGCTGACGCCCCATCCTTAGCAATGCCAGAAAAGATGCGTGGCAAATGTTGAGAAATAATTCTCTTCTCACTAACCACAATGTTGTATTCAGCCTCCCCCCCTCTCCTGTATCACACCCATAGGCTTGGGATTTGCCCTCAAGGTAGGGCTGACCTGAACAGGAGACTCAGGAAGTTCTGTCTATTCTTTCTGTGAATCACACAGACCTAGTCCAAGGCCTTTGGCCAGTTTCAGCTTGGGGAAGTCTTCTCTGAGCTCACGCAGATTTTCAGAATCCAAGCTGCTTCCTGCTGGCCATGTTCCAGCTGCTCTCTTCTGGGGGGGAAATAAAGCCTCTCCCCGGGGCTCCTTCAGCCCTCAGCCTGCCCTGGCCTGGAGTCCGGCACGGTGGCCATGGCCGTGGCAGTCACCCCTTGGCTATATCAGCTGGATTAGTCACCCCACCTTGGCTCCGTCTCCCTCCTAGTAACTTTCCACCCGCATGAGCACAGCCCTGGGTCTGGCTGACCCGGGAGCACACTCATTCTTTTCACTATTGTTCTAGCCTCTGGAACCAGCACCCACTACTAAGCTCCGCAGTGCTGCTCACGTTTTCTCTGGAGGAACCCCTAGGGTCAAGGAAAATGTCTTCATCTCCTGAGAGTTTTGGGGTGTCTGACACAGACTATGCAATCCCCAGTGGTCAAGAGTGCCAAATTTTGCACACACACGCACACACACACGCACACACAAATACACACAAAGATCAAATAAGGACCAAAAGGTATCATTGGGTTTGGTAATTAAGGGGTAACTGGTAACTTTAGAAGCATGGATTTTGGTGAAGGGAATGGGAGTCAGTGAAGCCTGGGGTGGGATGGCCGAAAGAAGGGAGATGGGACCGCTGAGGTAGGAGGCATCTTGTTGAAAACCCGGGATCCAGGCAGAGATGGGCATGTGGGGTGGAGTGCCCAGGCCATTCTGGGTGAGGGATGACACAAACAGGAAGTCAGGAGGCATAGCTAGGGGACAGCCAGAAATGCAGCTGCTCTGGACTTGGAGACGCGTCCCTTCCGCTTTCTGGCGGTTGGCAGGGTACGCTGCCGCTGCTGCCCCGAGCATCTTCCATCTTCGGGTTTTTTGTGGTTCACTGTGGCCTGGGGCTGGTGACAGGGCACGGTCTACAGTGCTCAGGCCTTGGGGTCTGGGGACATGAGGGTTTGCCCAGACAGCCTTAGGAAGTCAGCAGTAGCCCTGGCCCAGCTTCCCCAAGGGAGAGAAGGGAGCAGGCTGTGTCCTTAGTGGGTTTTGTCCGGTCCTCAAAGCCTGTTTCCTGGCCAGGTGGTGAAGTCTGCTCAGAGCCTCTAATCCAGTCTCTAGGGCCGTGGTTGTCAGAGCGTGGTGTCCAGGTCAGCTGCACCAGCAGCATCTGGAAAGGCCAAACGTCAGGCCCCACCTTAGACCTATTCAGTCCAAAATATTCTGAGCACATTCTCAAAGAATGCTTCTGGTCCATGTGCTGACAACCACTGGCCCGGAAGAGCTAGATTTCCTTCTTCCTTGAGTTATGGTACGAGCAGGACCCACCTCCAAAGCTATTTCTACAAGGCAGTGGTCCGGGCTTACTTGGGTCTTCCTTGAAGGGGGCTGCCTTAGTCCATCCAGGAGGCCATAATGAAAACCGTAGACTGGGCGGCTTACAAGCAACAGAAATTTATTTCCTACACTTCTAGAGGCTAGCAGTCTGAGATCAGGTGCCCGCAAGGTTGAGTTCCGTTGAGGCCCACTTTGCCCTCTACCCACTTGGTTGTCTGTGTCCTCACATGGTAAGAGAGGTGAGGGAGCTCTCTGGAGCCTCTTTTATTTTTTATTTTTATTTTTTTGAGATAGGATCTCGCTCTGGTGCCCAGGCTGGAGTGCAGCCATGTGATCACTGCTCATTGCAGCCTCCATCTCCTGGGCTCAAGTGATCCTCCTGCTTCAGCCTCTAGAATAGCTGGGATTACAGGTGCATGCCACCATGCCCAGCTAATTTTTTTGATTTTTAATAGAGACAGGGTCTCACTATGTTGCCCAAGCTGGTCTTGAACTGAGTTCAAGGGATTCTCCGGCCTCAGCCTCCTGAAGCGCTGGGATTATAGGTGTGAGCCACTGTGCCTGGCATGGGACCTCTTTTATAAGGGCACTAATCCTATTCATGAGGGCTCCACCCTCATAACCTAATCACTCCAAAGGCTCCACCTCCTAATAGCATCACCCAGGGAATTAGGTTTCAATATATGAATTTGGGGGGACACAGATATTCAGTTTCCAGCAGGGATGCATGCTGCCCCTGAAGGCAGAGAAATAAACCTCCAGGACCGTTTCCAGGGCAAACCTCCCGAGGGGAATGGCAGAACATTGGCATTGTACCTGGTGGCTGGGAGGTACATCTGCCTCTTTGCTGGTGTATGACCTCAGGTGGGTGGCCAAGATCTCACAGCCTCTGTGTGCCCATTTGTGAAGTGGGGACTGTTACATCCACCACAGCTGCTGTGAGGATTGATGAGTCCCCACACATCAGGGACCTGGCCCAGAGCAGGCCCTCGTGGTTGGTGCACAGTGGAATTTACCGCACTTGCCTCCCCCTTCCATAGCAGCACTGCCTTGAGCTGCCTGCCCTGTTCTTCTGCCATCTCACATTCTGCCAGGGAGCGCCCCAGAGCTGTTTCCTGGGCTGAGATGGCATTGGCTGCAGGGACCTTATTTAGTATTCTATCTTACCTTAGAAAATTGGAGCCACTGTTTTCTCTTTCATTCTCTTCCCCTCCCTAGACAGTCGACACTTAATCCAAAACATAGCCTCTCTTCCACCATCAATCTCCATCTCACAAATAGAAAATCTCTTTTGATGGCTGGCAGGAGAAAGTCCCAGTGCTGCAGTGGGGTCCCAATGTCCTGGGCACTCTCCTCCCTGGCACGGGCCATCCCTGCAGGCCTGCCAGTCTCTCTCAGGACCCACTGGACAAGCAGTCTAGACAGTGCGTGACCCTCTCTTTGTCTCAGTCCCAGGAGTGGTGGAATGATGTCATCACACCCGTGCTGGATGTGTTTCTAGCCCCAGGCGGGAGGAGGAGTCACAGGCCAGGAGAAGGGTTTCTTTGAGTTCTGGTGTTCTTTGTCAGGTGACTTCCCCACCTCAGTGAAGCTGGTGACAGATAACAGCAGAGCAAGTCCAGATACCGCCTGTAGCATTGGTCTGGGAGGGAACGGGAGAAAGAAAAGGCCAGCAGAGCTAGCTTCCCAGCCGCCTGGGGCAGAATCTCCATTCTCTTCAGGGCCATTCTGTAATTCCAGTTCACTTTAAACTAGAGCCTAAATTTGGTTGCTCAAGACTCTCCCTCCTTAAAAAACCAAAGCAGCCCTTGCGGGGCCCTCAGCAGGGTCCAGCGGTGAGCACAGCGCTGCGTCTTGCAAGGACTGTCCATGCTTGCCATCTCTCCTTCCTCATGTCCCCTTTCCACCTGGGCTCATTGACATCAGCCTCTGTCCCCACCCTTCCTCTGACACTGCTGTCACCTAGATCACGGGCACCTCCAGGTGGCTAAGTCCCAGGGGACTGGCTCAGTCCTTGCCTTTCCAGAGTTCTCTGACGCACCTGAAACAGCTGCCAGTGACTTTCCCTTCTTGAAAAGCTGCCCCACGGTTTCCATCCCGCCTGTCTCCTGGCTATTTCCAGCCCTCAGCTATTTCTTTTTTCTTTTTTTTTTTTTTTTTTTTTGTTAGATGGCGTTTCACTCTTGTTGCCCAGGCTGGAGTGCAATGGTGCAATCTCGGCTCACTGCAGCCTCTGCCTCCCAGGTTCAAGCAATTCTCCTGTCTTAGCCTCCTGAGTAGCTGGGATTACAGGTGCCCACCACTATACCTGGCTAATTTTTGGTATTTTTAGTAGAGACGGGATTTCGCTTTGTTGGCCAGGCTGGTCTTGAACTCCTGACCACAGGTGATCAGCCTGCCTTGGCCATTGGCTATTTCTTTGTCTCCTTCACAGGCACCTCCTTCCGCTCTCACCCTTCAGTGACACACTGAGCACAGGGCATCCTTAGCCCCTGCTCTTTTCACTCAGGGTGATTTCCACAGTGAATTGCACCCACCAGCCACCTCAGCCTGTACGACTACTATGTCTTCTTCGTGTTCTTCTTTTTTTTAACAGGGTCTCACTCTGTCACCCCAGGCTGCAGTGCAGTGTCGTGTCGTGATGTTGGCTCACTCCCCTTCCTGGGTTCAAGTGATTCTCGTGCCTCAGCCTCCGGAGTAGCCAGGATTACTGGCGCCTACCACCACACCCAACTTTTTTATTTTTATTTTTGTTTTTATTTTTAGTAGAGTTGGGGTTTCACCATGTTGGCCAGGCTGGTCTTGAGCTCCTGACCTCAAATGATGCGTCCGCCTCAGCCTCTCAAAGTGCTGGGATTACAGGTGTGAGCCACCATATGGAGTCTCACTCTGTTGTCTGGGCTGTAGTGCAGTGCCATGATCATGACTCACTGCAGCCTCCAATTCCTGGAATCCAGTGATCTCCTGCTTCAGCCTCCAGAGCAGCTGGAACCACATGTGTGTACCACCATGCCCAGCTATTTTTTAAAAAAATTGTGTAGAGAAGGGGGCCTTGCTTTGTTTCCCAAGCTAGTCTCAAACTCCTGAACTCAAGCAATCCTCCTGCCTCGGCCTCCTACAGTGCTGGGATTACAGGTGTGAGCCACCACACTGGGCCAACCTGTACTTCTTATGAAAGAGTCCCAAGCCAAGGCCTGGCCCAGATCTCCCCTCTCAGCTCCTGACCCTTTTATCCAGCTGCCCACTTGATATTCCACAGGCATCTCAAATTCAAAGTTGAAAACCAAACTGATTTTCCCACAAACCACTCCTGCCTATACTCTTTCCCTTGAGAAATGCCCACCTATTATTGAAAATTATAGGAACAGCTGGGCACGGTGGCTCACACCTGTAATATCAACACTTTGGGAGAATGAGGCAGGGACATTACTTTAGGTCAGGAGTTCAAGACCAGCCTGGCCAACATGGTGAAACTTTGTTTCTAATAAAAATACAAAAATTAGGTGGGCATGGCAGCTGGCACCTGTAAGCCCAGCTACTTGGGAGGCTGAGGCAGGAGAATCACTTGAATCTGGGAGCGGAGGCTGCAGTGAGCTGAGATCAAGCCACTGCACTCCAGCCTGGGTGACAGAGTGAGACTCCATCTCAAAAAAAAAAAAAAAAAAAAAAAAAAAAAAAAAATTATGGGAACAGTGAAGAAATTCATAAATAAAGAAAAAAGTAAACAAAATCTCCATAGCCCCAGCACATAGAAACAAGCCCTTTGACTATTTGGTAGTGTTTCTTTCTATAATTTGAATATTCCAATTTTCCCACTTAACACTGTAGCTTAAGAATGCTCCCATGCTATTACCAGTTCTGCATGACAATTGTAAACTGTTGGGAACACATGACACAGAATAGAGCAAACATTCCAACCTAAAAGTGTATAAGGTAAAAAATAACCTTCCTCTCATCCCTGACCCCCAAGGCACCCAGTTCCCTACACAAGGCACCTGCTGTTGCTGGCCTCCTGCACGTTCTTCTAATGATCCCCACGCCCATACAAGATCACACACAATGCCCCTCACACGTGTTTTTGGAGAGGTAGGGGATCTTACTTTGTTCCCCAGCCTGGCCTTGAACTCCTGGACTCAAGCAATCCACTTGCCTCAGCCTCCTGGGGAGCTGGGACTATAGACACATGCCACAGTGCACAGCTGCGTCCCACCCCCTTTTGAAACCTACATAACAGCATAGCATACGCTCTTGTGGTCCGCCTTCCCTTTTTGCATTTAACAGTATGTCTTGAATCTGTCCACAACTCCCCATAGAGACCTTCTGCATTCTTGTTTCCTGACCCCTGGTGCTCTGGTGTCTGTCTGGATCGTAGGTGATGAAACTAGTCCCCCACTAACAGACCTCTCCATTTTTGCCAGTTCATTGTTATAAATTAGACTGCAGTAAAGAAAGACCAGGGTGCAGAAAAGCAACCTCCTTTTCCATGGGCCTAGAAAGGAGGGAGTGGGTGTGAGAGAAATTCTGAAGGGAGAATGCCTAAGCCCTGGAGTGAAGGAAGAAGGGCATTTTAGCCGGGTATTAATCATAGGAAACAGGGTGATGGGAGGAGATGCTGGCTTGGGTCCATGATGAGCCTAATTCTGAGCTTGTTGGTGCTGAGCAGAAGTGGAACACCAGAATGATGAGGGTTCCCTCATTCACACCCAAAACGTGGGAGAGAGGTTAGGGCCAGAGTCTGAGGCCAAGCATTGAGCTCATGGAGAAGGATGCACACTGTCACCCTCATGATGCCCCTCAGATGTGGGCATTTACCCCCATTTTAGAGACAGAGAAGCAGGAGATGAAGGTGGTGCACTCAGGCCCCACCCCACCACAGCACGGGCCTGCCTGTGTGAGGAGAGAGGACGGTCTGGTGGCTGTCACTATTTACAGGGGATCTGAGAGGACGAGGCTGCCTCCAAGGAGGGCCTGCAAGTGGAATAGCTGGGGCTTCATGCACCGGTCCCAGAGCAGCTTCCTGAATCCTGGCAGGCCTTGGAGAGGCAAGGCCTGCGAGGGAATGGGCCGCCTGGGGTCTCCTGGGCCCTGCCTGGCACCCTGGCTCCTGCCTGCCTCTAACCTGGAGTTCTGTGCTCTCCCTCCTGGCAGGTTCTGCCCATCATCATCTTCTTCAGCTGTGTCATATCAGTTCTCTACCATGTGGGCCTCATGCAGTGGGTGATCCTGAAGGTGAGTTCTCGGTGCCCATGACCTGGGCTCTCCCAGAGTCACCAGCTCACAGGGTTCATACTCTCCCAAAATGCCTTGCTCCCAGAACCCAAATCTCCCCAGATACACTGCTCCCCAAGCCCACACCCTTCCAGAATCCCCTACTCCCAGTGCCTACACCTTTCCAGAACTCCCAGTTCCCAAGTTCCACACCTTTCTGGAATCCCTTGCTCCTGAGGCCCACACCTTCCCAGAATCCCCTGCTTTTTAGAGTTCACACCTTCCTAGGATCCTTTGCTCCTGAGGTCCACAGCTTCCCAGAATCCCCTGCTCTTAGAGTTCACACCTTCCTAGAAGCCTTTGCTCCTGAGGTCCACACCTTCCCAGAATCCCCTGCTCTTAGAGTTCACACCTTCCTAGAAGCCTTTGCTCCTGAGGCCCATACCTTCCCTGAATGCTCTGCTTCCAGGATCCTCACCCTTGCAGAATTTAGTACTGACCAAATATCCTTTCCCAGAGTCTCCTGTCATGATACTAAGGAGAAATAGCTTCAAAGTCTAATGTGGTCTTTGCTGGAGGAAAGGTTGCAGTTTTGAGGCTGCATTGAGAAGGTGTCGAAGAGAAAAGTAATTCATAGCAAAAAGATATTGAGAGACTGTTGCAGTGGGTCATGTTGGCCAGACTTAGCTAGTATAAATGTCAAATCCTGTGCTTATGTTCATAAAATCTGCACAAAACCAGGATGTAGGAGACAGCATTGGACAGCATTGGATAGCATTGGGCCTGGCAAAAGATTCTGAGGTTTTAATTTAACTGATTGAGCTCAGAATAAATCAGCAATATCAGATGGCTGCCAGAAATGCAAAAACAACCTGTGATTATTGTCCTCGTTCATTTTCTGTTGCTGTAACAGAATATCACAGACTGAGTAATTTAAGAAAAGAGATTTATTTGGCTCATGGTTCTGGAGGCTGGAAAGGCCAAGAGCATGGCACTGACATCTGGTAAGGGCCTTCTTGCTGTGTCATAACATGGTGGAAGAGCAGAAGGCAGAGTGAGCACATGAGACACAGAGAGATCAGGGCCGAACTTAGGAGTTCACTCCCATGATAACCAAACTACTTCTGCAATAACAGCATTAATCCCTTCATGAGGGCAGAGCTTTCATGACCTAATCACCTCCTAAAGGTCATGCTTCTCAACATTGTTATAATGGCAATCAAATATCTTTTTTTTTTTTTTTAACTTTGGCAATCAAATTTCAACATGAGTTTTGGTGGGGATATTCAAACCGTAGCAGTTATGTTAAGAGCACAGACTGCATAGCATAAAGGAGGTGATTACTCCCAGATCTGGAGAATGTGTTCAACCAAGAGGCTATGACAAACTGAACTATAAGCAGGAGAGTGAAAGGGCCTGAAGCCATACCTTCTGCAGAATGACTGCAGGAGTAAGGAATGAGGAGCCTGGAGAAGAGGAAGTGAGGGGAAGGACAGCTGTGTACAAATACTTACAGAAGAGAGTTTAGGGAAAGGGCAGCCTGAGAGACACCAGAAGTGGAGAGAATTCCAGGAAAGCAGATTTCATTTTGATTAAAAAGAAGAGCTTTCTGTTGGGCATGGTGGCTCGCACCTGTAATCCCAGCACTTTGGGAAACCAAGGCAGGTGGACCACCTGAGGTCAGGAGTTCGAGACCAGCCTGGCTAACATGGTGAAACCTCATCTCTACTAAAAATACAAAAATTAGCTGGATATGGTGGCATGTGCCTATAATCCCAGCTACTTGGAAGGCTGAGGCAGGAGAGTTGCTTGAACCTGGGAGGCAGAGGTTGCAGTAAGCTCAGATTGTGCCACTGCATCTAGCCTGGGTGACAGAATGAGGCTCTGTCAAAGAAAGAAAGAAAGGGATGGGGGCGGGGGGGAGCGGGAAGGGAGGGAGAAGGAGAGGGGGAGGGGGAGGGGAAAGCAAAGCTAAGCTTTCTAGTACAGTGTTTCCCAAAACCTTTTCCACAAAACTGTAGTTCCACAGCATGTTAATAAATGTTACCAGGTAAAGGTAGCCTGATCTCGTGGTCAAATAATTTGGGGAAACTAAGCTAGATATCATGCTACACAAATTTAAACAGGTTTAATGCCGGACTTCTCAGAACCTTTACTAAACTAATGTGTATTGGTAATCTCCAAGGGGTGTGTGTGTGTACGTGTGTGCATCTGTGTCTGTGCAGTTCCCAATTCTCAAATATATTTGGCCAGGAAATCCTTTCTGTATTCCTATGGTGGAATGGGTGGCTTTGGGAAGTGGTAAGCCATCAACAAAGGTGTGGAAGAAGATAAATGGACCTTTTGGGAAAATGCAGATGAGGGGTCCTACACTGGACTGGGAGTTGAAAGGAAGATGGGTAAGCTCTTCCACTCCAGCCCCCGCTGACTCTGGGGTTTGCTGACATCAGCTCACAAAGAACACTCTGCTTCCTCCTAGATTGCCTGGCTAATGCAAGTCACCATGGGCACCACAGCCACTGAGACCCTGAGTGTGGCTGGAAACATCTTTGTGAGCCAGGTGGGTATGGCAGCCTCCTGCCCTCATGCTCATCAGCAGCTTCCACAAAGTGGGCAGGTGCCCTTAGTCCCCAGGGCTCTGATTCAGTCTGAGGAGGAGCCATTTGAACCTTCTCCCAGGGTCATCAAAGGCTTGCTGGCCCAGAGATACTCTGTTTGGGGATGCCTGGGTCATGCCAGGGAGGATGTCACCTGTCTGACTTCTCACCACCCTAGGCAGTCTTCATCACCCCAAAGACTCACAAATCCTACAGATAGAGTCCACTTTCTTATTTTATTCATGAAGAAACAGGCTTTAGGGTGTGGGTATCCCTTGGCCAAGATCCCACATGTATAAGCCACAGGTTCGAATCCAGGTTTTCTTCTTCCTGGTCAGAGTTTTTTCCACTGCATCATTTTGTCTTTTCTGTTCTCTGTCTTTCCGAAAATGTGTTTTCCAAAGTAAATGTGACTCTGAACGCACCCTTAGCGGAGTCCCTTTCAGAGAGCCTGATTCCCCGGAGGATGGCCCGCTGGAGACTCTGCCGTGGTCTGTCCCGGCCCATCTGCCTAACGTTTGAGTCACCAAGAAACACACTTGTCAAAAGATGCCATATTTCACTGGATAGTTTAGGAAGCTTTGGAGAATATTTGTATCTTTTTTGCTATGGTGCAAGTGTGTTGATCTCAAAAGTTTTTTTCCGGTTGTTTTTTGTTTACTTTTTATCTTATTTTTAGCCAATGAAGATAGACGTGCTCTGAGATAAACTGTCACAAAAATCCCTTAAGGTGTTCAAAATGAGGCAAAAGAGGAAAACAATATTGAAATGCAAAGCAGTTATTTTATATGAAAGGCTGCAAATGTGTTCTGTGTGTTTTGCTGGGAAAATATGTAGGTGAAGGTGACATTGGGTGATGCAAAGCACTACCAAGGTAAATTCACTCCGACAAGTTGATCAAGCTGACCCAGGTGCCTGGGTCTGCACCTCATTTCCTGCAAGAGGAGGGGATGGGGGGCCTTCAGGGGTCAGTGGCGTCATTTCAACCTCTCTATATGTGGCAGGCCTGGCCCTCTCCTCTTGTCCGTCCGTCCGCACTCCCTCCCTGCGGTATCACATTAGCCTATGGCTTTAAACTCTTTCAGTGTCTCCCAGGTCTGTTCTGCGCTCCTGGCCTCCCACGAACTCAGGACTGACAGGTCAACTGGCCCCTTGACCATTCACTTGGAGATCTAAGGGGTGTCTCACATTAAGACACAAAGTCCAAACAACCTGAACTGTTGCTCCCCTCCCCCATCACACCTCCCTGTCTCAAGCCCTTCCTCTTGGCAGGTGGGAACATCTTCCACAGGATTGTTCAGGCAGAACAGCTTCTCCAGTAGCTGGGATTACAGGCACGACCCACTATGCTCGGCTGATTTTTGTATTTTTGGTAGAGATGGGATTTCACCATGTTGGCCAGGCTGGTCTCGAACTCCTGACCACAGGTGATCGGCCCGCCTTGGCCTCCTAAAGTGCTGAGATTACAAGCATGAGGCTCCATGCCTGGCCCACTCAGTTTTAAACACCCCTGACCAGTAGGCATTCTCACACATATCATTGCTTTCGTCACCATCTGAAAGGACATTGCTTACCTGCTTGGTTCCTTGTTGATTATCTGTATTCTCCCACCACTGCTAAAGCCCTTCTTCCGCCCTCCACTGCTCCCAGGATGTAAGCCCCATGAAGGCAGGGACTTTATCTTGTTGACCCTATGTTCCTATTCTGTAGAACAGTGCCTGGAACACAGTAGGCGCTCAATAACTAGTTACTGAGTGAATAATGAAGGGCTTCAGGCTGCCCAGATGCCCAGAAATGCACCCCCTATCCAATGCCCCAGCCCCTTTCTTTTCGGCCACCCCTGTGGCTGCAGACCTGCTCCCCATCCCTCTGCATGAGCAGGCATCATTCCTGGAACTCCTCTGAGCCTCTTTTGCTCTCCTGGAAAATGGAGATGCCCACTTCTATCTCAGAAGGTTGTGAGTAATGAAGGTGACGTGCTTAGTGGGGTGCCTGATTTGTGGCGGGCCGATGACACAGGGGAGCATTGTCAGGCTGGGACAGGAGGACGGGGATCCTTCTGCAGGCCATGCTGAGGTGCAGAGAGGCTCAGCCACGCATAGACCCTGGTCCTTACCCCATCCTGCTGCCTCTTGCCATGGGACTCCCAGGCGCTCGCTGTGACCTGTGGAGGTGAAGGGTGTGCCCAACCACCCCCACCCTGCTTGTCTGACATCTTTCCTGTTTGCAGACCGAGGCTCCGTTACTGATCCGACCCTACTTGGCAGACATGACACTCTCTGAAGTCCACGTTGTCATGACCGGAGGCTACGCCACCATTGCGGGCAGCCTGCTGGGCGCCTACATCTCCTTTGGGGTAGGTAGAGCCCTCCTTCTGCTTGGCTATGTTGAGGACCTGAAGCCCACCTTTATGGGAGCCCCACACAGCTCCTGGCCAGAGCAGTCCTCGGATCTTCTCTCTTGGGCCTGCTGTGCTGGTCAGAGGAGCGGCTTCCCCTGAGCCAGGCAGACCAGTGGGCTGGACCATTTGCTCAAGTTTCACACATGGCCACCTAGGGGAAAGCATCCCGGTGTTCTGTTTACTGAGTGCATTCTAGGTACCAGGGAATATGCTAGGGTTTTAATATCCCCATTTCCAGAGGAGAAAATTGAGGTTCAAGTGTAAGTTGAGATGCCCAAACCCAGATCTGTCTGACTGCAAAATTCATCTCATTTCTCCAGTCTCACACCTGGACGGGCCCTAGAGATCTGTCCCCTCCTCCCTTTCCCCACACGGTCTCTGGGCTCAAGTCCTGCCTCTGCTCTTAAATTGTTGCCTATGCGGTTTATGCAGCACAACGCATTTGTAGGTCAAATTCCAGTGGTGTGAATTAGGCCCTTAAAGCAATCTCAGTGCTACTGCATGGCAGGCAGAGAAGAATTTTCAAATGCATCCCCTGCAAAATGCCCAGTAGTAATGCTTTACATTCGTAAAACGCCTTGTGCTTTCACAGGCAAATCTTCAAAGGTCTCAATTTTATTTCCTTAACTGTCAAAGAAATTCTTGCTTATTGCAGAAGCAAGTAAGTTTTTAAATCTCTTAACCCCACATCCCACAGGTAACTGCTTTTATTTATTGATTTATTAATGTAATTTTGCTTTTTTTTTTTTTTTTTTTTTTTTGAGACAGAGTCTTGCTCTCTCTCCAGGCTGGAGAGAGTTCAATCTTGGCTCATTGCAGCCTCCGACTCCCTGGTTCAAGTGATTTTCCTGCCTCAGCCTCCTGAATAGCTGGGATTACAGGTACGAACCACCATGCCCAGCTAATTTTTTTTTTTTTTTAGTAGAGATGGGGTTTCACCATGTTGGCTAGGATGGTCTCGATCTCCTGACCTCGTGTTCTGCCCACCTCAGCCTCCCAAAGTGCTGGGATTACAGGCGTGAGCCACCATGCCTGGCCTGGTAACTGCTTTTAATGGCTTAGAACAGCTGTTCTCAAAGTCACCAGCATAGTCAGCATCACGTGAGAACTTGTTAAAAATGCAGATTCTTGGGCCCAGCCCAGACCTGCTGAATCAGAAACGATGGGGGAGGCCAAGGCGGGTGGACCACCTGAGGTCAGGAGTTTGAGACCAACCCAGCCAACATGGAAAAACCCTGTCTCTACTCAAAATACAAACAAATAGCTGGCCATGGTAGTGGGCACCTATAATCCCAGCTACTGGGGAGGCTGAAGCAGGAGAGTCACTTAAAACCAGGAGGCGGAGGTTGCAGTGAGCTGAGATTGTGCCACTGCATTCCAGCCTGGGCGACAGAGTAAGACTCTGTCTCAAAAAAAAAAAAAAAGAAAGAAAGAAAAAAAAGGAAAGAATAGAAACAGTGGGGGTGAGGTGGCAGCAAGCCTCATAGGTGATTCTGCTGCTCACTCAGTTTGAAACCTACGGACCTAAAATGTCATTCCAAATCTGTCTGTGTAAGTAGACTTTTAGGTATATATGCCTGAGTACTCACATACTTTCTTTTATTTTTATTTTTTTAATAAAAGATGAGAATCATTGATCAAGAGAAAATAGCTCATAAATTATAAAAAGATATTCAAGCTCACCGTTGTTTAAAGGAATTAAGACAATAATAACTTGGGCCGGGCACAGTGGCTCACACCTGTAATCCCAGCACTTTGGGAGGCCGAGGCGGGTAGATCACGAGGTCAAGAGATCGAGACCATCCTGGTCAACATAGTGAAATCCCGTCTCTACTAAAAATACAAAAAATTAGCTGGGCATGGTATTGCGTGCCTGTAATCCCAGCTACTCAGGAGGCTGAGGCAGGAGAATTGCCTGAACCCAGGAGGCGGAGGTTGCGGTGAGCTGAGATCGTGCCATTGCACTCTAGTCTGGGTAACAAGAGCGAAACTCCATCTCAAAAAAAAAAAAGACAGTAATAACTTATCTTTCTTCTAAGTGATATGCAACCCTTTACGTGTCTCCAAATGGCAAGAGTGTGGTACTCACCCACTCATGATGAGAGTTTAATTTACTGTAACCTTTCTGGTGAACACCTATCAGTCAATTTATTTTTTATTTATTTTATTATAGATATAATATTTTATTATTTTTATCATATATCACTTTTAAATTTTTATTTATATAATACAATATTATATTTTATTATATAGATCACTTAAAATATTTTACTTATTTTTTCCTTTTTAACTTCCCACATGACACCAACATATATTTATATATATTTTTTGAGACAGAATCTCCCTCTATTACTCAAGCTGGAGTACGGTGGTGCGATCACAGCTCACCATAGCCTCAAACTCCGGGGCTCAAGCAATCCTCCCACCTCAGCCTCCTGAGTAGCTGGGATTACGTATGTGAGCCACCACCTCTGCCTATTTTTTCTTTGTTTCAGTAGAGATGGGATGTTGCTACGTTGCCCAGACTGATCTTAAACTGGGCTCAAGCAATCCTCCCACCGTGGCCTCCCAAAATATTAGGAATATAGGCATGAGCCATTACACCCAGCTTCAATCACTTTAGAAATACTCTTTTCCTTTGATCCAGCTAGAAAGATTGTGATATAGGGATATTCTCACAAATGTTCAAGAAATGCAAAATTTCAACATTATTTGCAAAAGCAAGAACACTGGAGAGCCTAAATGGCCAGCCGTACAGTCATGAGCTGGGTAAGTTGCTGCCAAAAGGCGGTGGCATTCATCGTGAAAGTGAGGTGGGCTGTGCGTGTGGGAGAGTGACCCCACCCTGCCTTTGCTCCCCACCCCAGGCTCTCTGGATGTTGTGTGTGGTGGAGGGTGACCACAGAATGACCCACACTGTCCCCTTCTGCCATCCCAGATTCTACCTGTCTCTCTCATCTCTGTCCATGGGGATGACGAGGGATGGGTGAAAGGGCAGCCAGCCTGCCCCTCCGCCTCTCCTTCACTCCAGACACCTGGGCCACACCAAGAACCTCACTGTCTCTACCTCCCAGCTGTCTGGCAGGGCCAGCTGTTGCATGACTTTTCAAGAAGTCTTCCTGTGCTCAGGGGCTTTGGATTCTGGGAGGGCACCCTCCCATCTAGAATTCTAGAGACTCTCCTCTGGTTTGCACCTGACTCGCTGAGGCCTAGAAAGGGCTCATTAGAGTTGGTGCACTCCCCACCACCGATTGTTTTCGGAAGTGTAGGGGCCAAGGGGAAATTTCCCCTACACCCTCTGAAGGTCACTGAAAACTCAACTCACAAAAGGCAGATTAACAGGAGGAAGGCACACGAATTTATTTAACATATACACACGTGAGCCTTCAGAACGAAGACCCAGAGATACAGGGAAAATCATTTTATGCTCAGGTTCAACAAAGCATGGACAGCCGCATAGAAATAGAAGTGGACAAACAGAGTGTAACCTAATACTAATGGACTCAGTGGAGGAGAAACAGCAAAGCCAGTCTGTCCAGACCCTTCTTGGCTCTCTGAACGTGCTTTTGTTCCTTTGGCGTAGGGGGCAAGATCGTCGTCGGAAGGGGGCCTTAGGACCTCCAATCAAACAAGGAAGGTAGATAATTTCTTTATGGCCAGTTTTTACCCAGAAAGGCAGAGGGAAGGTAGAGCACTGGTTTGGGGCGTTATGGCTGGCTCTGGGTAAAAGAGCTGCTGGTCTCCGGGCCCTGCCTTGGGGAAGAGGAATTCTGGTTTCTGTGGCTAGCCTTGGGGAAGAACCGGACTGAAAGATGGGAGAGCCGGAGAGGAAAAACTTCTTCCAAGGCTGCCTCTGAAGCCCTCATTTTTGGGTATTGTTTTCAGAGTCTCAACAGAAGGAATTTGATGTTTCAAAAATGGAAACCCAAAACTTTGTTCCTGAAACTTTTTTCATGACAGGATATTGGGGGAGGGGATGCCGTACTATTCTCAGAACTTAGGGCTTTAGATGTCTTAACCTGGCTCTGGTCCCCTCAGCCAACGAAAAGAATGACCCTGGTGTTCTTCCTAGTCGTTATTTAGAACTTGAACACTGGAAGAGCGCTCGCCCATTTCCATAGTCTGGCTTCAGACTCAGCCCTCCTTCCTTCCCGTTCTCAGGCAAAAGTCCAGGCCCAGCCCTGGGCCGTCTGGCTTCCCCATTGGCGGGGCCTGGGTACCCATGCCCCTTTACCTGCACAGAATGGGCAGAGGCAGCCAGGATCAGCCCTAGGGGCCCTTGAGCCTCCACTCACAGTCTTTAGTTTGGAAGCCCCGGGCTACAACCACAGCTGGCCCAGAGGAAAGTCGCCTAACAGCCTATCAAACCTTCCTTCCCTTCAGTCTCTGGATCTGCCCCTAGTCTTGTCTCCAGTGCAGCTCTCTTCTGCCCCCACCTGGCTCATGACAGTCACTGCACCACTCCTGCAAGGCACTCCCTCCTTTAACTTCCTTCCCCAGCCAGTTCCTCAGTGTCTTTGGTTCTGTCCTCAGCCCCTGAATCCCAGAAGGGTCTTTCTTGCTCTTTCCTCCAAGCTCCCAGATTCTTTTTTTTTTTCTTTGAGACAGAGTCTCCCTCTGTCACCTAGGTTGGAGTGCAGTGGCTCGATCTCGACTCACTACAACCCCCACCTCACAGGTTCAAGCAGTTCTGCTTGTCTCCCAAGTAGCTGGGATTACAGGGCCCACCATCACGCCCAGCTAATTTTTGTATTTTTAGTAGAGACAGGGTTTTACCATGTTGGTCAGGCTGGCCTTGAACTCCTGACCTCAGGTGATCCGCCCATCCCAGCCTCCCAAAGTGCTGGGGATTATAGGCATGAGCCACTGTACCTGGCTTCCAAGTCCCACATTCATAAAACCATTTTGTAGCTCCATTTCTGGCTTCCTTCTTCACGCATCCCTCCTATTGCTAATATCTGGATATTTCTAGACCTCACTGTCCAAAACAGTAGCCACCAACCACACACGACTATTGAGCACTTGAAATGTGGCTAGTCATACTCAAAAAATTTTTAAGTTGTTTTATTAATTTGTAGTCTTTATTTTGTCATCCATATTGATAATTTTATATTGATTACATGGAAAGAAAATATTTTGGATATATTGGGTTAAATAAAACATTATTAAAATTAATTTAACTTTCTTTTTTTTTCCTTTTTAAAATGTGGCTACTGGGCCGGGCGCATGGCTCATACCTGTAATTCTAGTACTTTGGGAGGCCAAAGCAGGAGGATGCCTGAAGCCAGGCGCTTGAGACCAGCATGGGCAGCATAGGGAGACCCCATCTCTACAAAAAATTGCAAAATAAAAAATTAGCTGGGCTTGGTGGCACACATCTATAGTCCCAGGTATTCGGGAGGCTGAAGCAGGAGGATCACTTGAGCCCAGGAGGTCGAGGCTATAGTGAGCCATGATCATACCATTACACTCCAGCCTGGGTGACAAGTGAGACCCTTCTGGTCAGAGAGAGAAGGGCCATGGGCAGGCGTGGGCCCTGGGATGCTAGGATGGAAGGCTCTCCTGACCAGGTGCCTGGGAGGCAGGGCTGGGGAACGTCACAGAGTGGAGTAGCTGGCAGTGGGGAGGTGGGTGTGGGCTGGCGCAGTGTCCAGGGAGCCCTGTCTGTGCAGGACTCAGCCCTTTCCATGATAAGCTGGAAACTACCAACTGCAGCATTTGAGGCAGTGACCACAGCTGGCCCACCCAAGGGACAGTGTCCAGGAACGTGACAACTGCAGGGTGTGTTCCCTACTGTGACTCAGGTTTACAGACCAGATGTGATCTACAAGTCAGAGGAGGGGTCAGGGTCCTGACTGGTGGAAGGAAAATCCCAGGATTCCAGGCGAGGCACCATCCCAGCTGGGGCTGGGCGACTGAGGAGGAAGCAGGTGAAGTCCCAAAGCCCCTCCCAGAAAGTCCAGAAAGGACACCTGACCCAAGTGGGCTTCATCTAGCAAAAGGCAGGGGCCCAGGCTTGCATGCCCAGCGTCCACACAGGGCCCTGGCGAGGTATCAGGCAGCTGCCAATTCTTGTTCATGTTTTAAGGGGTTTTGTTGGTGCTTAAAAAGAAACAACTGGGGGCCGGGTGTGGTGGCTCAACGCCTGCAATCCCAGCACTTTGGAGGCCAAGGCGGGCGGATCACCTGAGGTCGGGAATTCAAGACCAGCCTGACCAACGTGGTGAAACCCCCATCTTAAAAAAAAAGAAAGAAAGAAAGAAAAAAACAACTGGGGTATTAAAAAAAAAAAGGACAAAAGACCTGGGATTCAGAGCTTGAGAGGGTCTCCAGCCTGGCTTCTCAGCAGCAGGCCTGGTACTCCCCTGAGATGGTAATAAGGGGCCCTCATGCTCTGTTCTATGCTTTTTTTTTTTTTGAGACAAAGTCTCACTCTGTCACCCAGGCTGGAGTACAGTGGTGTAATCTCAGCTCACTGCAACCTCTGCCTTCCGTGTTCAAGTAATTCTTGTTCTTCAGCTTCCCAAGTAGGTAGGATTACAGGTGTGTGCCACTACGCTGGGATAATTTTTGTATTTTTAGTAGGGATGGAGTTTCACCATGTTGTCCAGGCTGGTCTCGAATGCCTGACCTCAAATGATCCATCCTGCCTTGGCCTCCCAAAATCCTGGGATCACAGGTGTGAGCTACCATGCCCAGCCTCCCCTCTGCTTTTATCAGCCTGAGTGTCTGTCTTCAACTTACTTCTCTCCTCCTTGTTCTTTTTCTTTAACACTTGAGAAGACAGTTGGCTTATTACAAACTTTAAGACGAAAACGTCTATTTTACTTTTTTTTTCTTTTCTTTTCTTTCTTTCTTTTTTTTTTTTTTTTTTTTTTTTTTTCTCTTTTGAGACAAAGTCTCGCTCTGTTGACCAGGCTGGAGTGCAGTAGTGTGATCTTGGCTCACTGCCAGCTCCGCCTCCTGAGTTCAAGCAATTCTCCTGCCTCAGCCTCCCAAGTGGCTGGGACTACAGGCATGCGCCACCATGCCCACCTAATTTTTGTATTTTGGGTAGAGATGGGGTTTCACCATGTTGGCCAGGATGATCTCCATCTCTTGACCTTGTGATCTCCCCGCTCAGCCTCCCAAAGTGCTGGGATTACAGGTGTGAGCCACCGCACCCAGCCAACTTTATTTTTTTGTTTATTAAAAAATATATTGCTGTGGACATTTTGAAAGATACCAAAATGCTGCCGGGTGCGGTGGCTCAAGCCTGTAATCCCAGCACTTTGGGAGGCCGAGGCGGGTGGATCACGAGGTTGAGAGATCGAGACCATCCTGGTCAACATGGTGAAACCCCGTCTCTACTAAAAATACAAAAAATTAGCTGGGCATGGTGGCGCGTGCCTGTAATCCCAGCTACTCAGGAGGCTGAGGCAGGAGAATTGCCTGAACCCAGGAGGCGGAGGTTGTGGTGAGCCGAGATCACGCCATTGCACTCCAGCCTGGGTAACAAGAGCGAAACTCCGTCTCAGAAAAAAAAGAAAAGAAAAGAAAAGAAAGATACCAAAATGCAGAAAGAAAAGAATATCGGCCAGGCGTGGTGGCTCATACCTGTAATCCCAGCACTTTGGGAAGCTGATCACGAGGTCAGGAGTTTGAGACCAGCCTGGCCAACACAGTAAAACCCTATCTCTACTAAAATTTAAAAATTAGCTGGGTGTGGTGGTGCTCATCTGTAATCCCAGCTACTCCGGAGGCTGAGGCAGGAGAATTGCTTAAACCCTGGAGGTGGAGGTTGCAGTGAGCCAAGATTGTGCCATTGCACTCTAGCCTGGGTGACAGAACAAGACTCCGTCTCGGGGGGGAAAAAAAAAGAAAGAAAAGAAAAAAGAAAATCACCCTTGGCCCTACCAGCCAGGGACGGTGAATTCACTGGCAGTTCGGTGTATTTTTTCTGCTCTTTCCACGCATCCGTTTGGAGTCTGTTTCCCCGCTGCCCCCAGTTTTGGTCATTCTCTACCTGCAATGTTGTAGGCCCTTTCCCACGTCACTGTGAGGCCTTGGTGACCTTCATTTTTAATGACAGCCGGACGATGCTTAGCCATTCTTTATTGGTAGATGTCTGAGCTGGTTCTAATTTCCCTGCTTGGTAAATGACGCAGTGATGTGGGGGAAACGTGTCATTTATCTCTGTGGAAAAGAACAGAGAAGCGAGGGGTTTGGGGTCACAGTGAAGATAAAAATTCAGGAAGGGAGAATCACAGGGGCCGATGTTGCTCTGCCATCTTGCTGGGAAGGGTTTTTACAGCGTGGGTCCCAGAAGGAGACTCAGGGCCAAATGGTGGTTGTTTAGGAGGCAGATTTCCTGAGAAGGAGTTCTCACACTGCAGGATTGGGTGTGATGGGCTGCCGTGCACTGGTGAGTTCCCCATCCCAGTAAGCATTCAAAGAAAGAACCTGGAGAGGGGGTACATTCCTATATGGTACATACACCACGAAGGTGGAACTGGGTGAGCTCTTAAGTCCATTTCATTTCCACTCTCAGGTTCTAGATCTTTGTCTGAAACGATCACAAATTCTTCCACTAAGGGGGAAACCTCAGCTAACGGGGACTAGTGGTCAACAGTGACGGCCTAAAAAGGAAGAAAGAACCTTGAACTTGGAGCCAAAAGATGTGATGGGCTCTTAATTCCTTCTCTTCCTTTACTTTGGGCGAGTCATATTGAATCCTTTGGAGTCTCAGTTTCCTTGTCTGTAAAATGAGGATAACAATATTCGCCATTCCTAAGTTAGGGAAGCACCAGGAAGAAACAGAAGGTGCTATACATATAGCCTGTGAGCTTTTACGCATAAAAGGTATTATAATGATGATAGCAGTTGTGACAATGAGGACATGCCAGTGGGACAGACTACACATGTGCCCTTGCTGCCCTGGGCCTCACTTCTTGATCACCAGTGTTTCTGCTGGCTGCCCACCTGGAACCCGCACTCTCACTTGCAGATCGACGCCACCTCGCTGATCGCAGCCTCCGTGATGGCTGCCCCTTGTGCCTTGGCCCTCTCCAAGCTGGTCTACCCGGAGGTGGAGGAGTCCAAGTTTGGGAGGGAGGAAGTGAAACTGACCTACGGGTGAGCACAGCAGGAGGTCCTGCAGAGGGCGTAGTGGTATAAGGTGTGGGGGCAAAGCAGGGGCTCCTGTTCTCTCTGTTCGTCACCATCTTCCACCAGCTCAGGCCAGTCGCTCCTCTTTCCCTGCCCTAGTTTGGCTTCATCTGCTGTCTTAGTCTGTTTTCTGTTGCTTGTAACGGAATACCTGAAGCTGGGTAGTTTATAAAGATAGGAGGCCGGGCGCAGTGGCTCATGCCTGTAATCCCAGCACTTTGGGAGGCCGAGGCGGGTGGATCATGAAGTCGAGAGATTGAGACCATCCTGGTCAACATGGTGAAACCCTGTCTCTACTAAAAATACAAAAATTAGCTGGGCATGGTGGTGTGCACCTGTAGTCCCAGCTACTCGGGAGGCTGAGGCAGGAGAATTGCTTGAACTCGGGAGGCGGAGGTTGCAGTGAGCCAAGATCGCGCCATTGCACTCCAGCCTGGGTAACAAGGGTGAAACTCCCTCTCAAAAAAAAAAAAAGAGAATAGGAATTTATTTCTTATAGTTATGGAGGCTGAGAAGTCCAAGGTTGAGGGGTTATATCTGCTGAGAGCCTTCTTGCTGCTGGGGATTCTACAGAGTCCCAAGGTGGCACAGGGTGTCACATTCTGAGGGGTGCCGGGCAGGGAACTGAGTATGCTAGCTCAGATCTCTCTTCCTACTCTGAAGAAGCCACCAGTCAAGGCCAGGCGCAGTGGCTCATGCCTGTAGTCCTAGCACTTTGGGAGGCTGAGGCAGGCAGATCACTTTAGGTCAGGAGTTTGAGACCAGCCTGGCCAACATGGTGAAGGCTGTATCTGCTAAAAATACAAAAGTTAGCTGGGCGTAGAAGCTCACGCTTGTCATTCCAGTTACTTGGGGGGCTGAGGCATGGGAATTGCTTGAATCCAGGAGGTAGAGGTTGCAGTGAGCCTAGATGGCACCATTGCACTCCAGCCTGAGCAACACAGCAAACCTCCGTTTCAAAAACAAAACAAAACAAAAAGCCACCAGTCCTACTCTGGTGATAACCCATTATCCCATAATCCATTAATCCAAAATTCAGGAATGGATTCATCCATTCAGGAGGGCCCTCATGACCCAATCACCTCTTAAAGGCCCCAACTCTCAATACTGCCACATTGGGGATTAATATTCAACATGATGTTTGAATATTAATATTCAACAATGAGTTTCCGAAGGGCAAACATTCAGACCATGGCATTTGCAAAAATGCACACTCCAGTTCTCACATCTGAATTTCCAGTCTCTGACCAGCAGGAAACAATGGACCAGGCGAGGCTTGGGAGCGTGGCCTGGTTCTTGGCGCTGTGGCCTGTCGTGTGTGCATGTTGAGGAGGTCATCAAAAAGCCCCATGCCACCATCTCTATGTGCCTGAGCTCTGACCACATAGAGTATCAACCATCCATGGACATGCTGAGTGCCAACTTTGATTTCACTCACCTCCTAATATCCTGTCATAGTCTTAATAACTGTTAGGTAACACTTAAACCTTAAACAGTGTTGAAAAGGCACCACGTCAGACACACGCTTGGGCACACCCCAGCCTCACAACCTTCTGAAGCACTGAGCAGCGCTGTCCCAAAGCAATGTAATGTGAGCTGCGCCTGTCATTTTCTAGTAGTTGTCCTTTAAAAAGTCAAAAGAAATGGGTGATTTTAGTAACCCATTTTACTTAACCCTGTACACCCAAAAGTATTGTCATTTCAACATGTAACCAGTATAAGAATTATTGAGAGATTTTGCATTTTTCGGTACTAAATCCTCAAAATCTGGTCTATATTTTGCACTTACCATGAATTCAATTCAGACAGCCTCCTGTCACATTCGGCTAATGGCTTCCATCTTGGACAGTTCAATGCTAGAAACCCGGACCTTGTCCCAGTGCTTTGGCCAGCCCCTTCTTCTCTCTGGGTCTCAGGGAAAATGAGGAATTCCTGCTCTGAAGTGCTCTTCCAGGGTTCCTGTTTGCACCTGTAAGATAGGGACCCTCGCTGGTTATGGAGACAGGCCAGTAATGATTGTTCTCAATCCCAATGACAGAGATGCTCAGAACCTCATAGAAGCAGCCAGCACCGGGGCCGCCATCTCCGTGAAGGTGGTTGCCAACATTGCTGCCAATCTGATTGCGTTCCTGGCCGTGCTGGCCTTCATCAATGCTGCCCTCTCCTGGCTGGGAGACATGGTGGACATCCAGGGGCTCAGCTTCCAGGTGCGTTTCTGGTCACCACACTCCGTCTGTAGAGAGGATGGCCCCGGGTGGGTGGTGTGTGTTGGCTGGAGGCCCTGCAGAGTTGAGACCCAGCGCTCAGTGCCAGCCACACCCTTGTCCCCTCAGCTCATCTGCTCCTACATCCTGCGGCCTGTAGCCTTCTTGATGGGTGTGGCCTGGGAGGACTGCCCAGTGGTAGCTGAGCTGCTGGGGATCAAGCTGTTTCTGAATGAGTTCGTGGCCTATCAAGAACTCTCCAAGTACAAGCAACGCCGCCTGGCAGGAGTTGAGGAGTGGGTCGGCGCCAGGAAGCAGTGGATCTCCGTGAGTAGCCCAGTCCCTTCCCTGCGGCAGGGGATGCCATGGCACAGCTGCTCCTAAGGGCCCCTGGCGGCTGCTCTCCCGCTTCCTGGGCCTGGCTGGAGGGATGCTTCACTATTATATAGCTGCATCCTATAGTCCCGGGAGACAGGACGGCTTCCGGCTTCGCTGCCATCTTTCTCGAGGGCCTTAGGAGGCTGAGGCGTGAGGAGAGAGCCCTGTGGGATGTCTGAGACCCAGGTCTAGATGGGTCGTCTTTCACTGTGGCCTTGGGCCAGCCACAGCACCTTTCCTCTTCTGTGGAAAACAGGGTAAGATGCCTGCCACCTCTACTCCAAAGGCATACCCACGCGCATCTAACAAGCTCAGAGTGAGTGAGATCAGGAGACTTCACTAACACTTTCACTGTTTTGTTTTGTTTGTTTGTTTGTTTGTTTGAAATGGAGATTCGCTTTTTCAGCCCATGCTGGAGTGCAGTGGCGCATCCTCAGCTCTCTGCAACCTCCACCTCCCAGATTTGAGCGATTCTCATGCCACAGCCTCCCCAGTAGCTGGGACTGCAGATACCTGCCACCACACCCAGCTAATTTTTGTATTTTTAGCTGTTCACCATGTTGGCCACGCTAGTCTTGAACTCCTGATCTCAAGTGATCCAGCCGCCTCAGCTTCCCAAAGTGTTAGGATTACAGATGTGAGCCACCACACTCGGCCGTCACCTTCACTGTTAATATAGTGGATTCAGTGCAGGGGTTGGTCCTTTCTGTCAAAATTTATTTTTAAATTCTATAAAAGATCTTTAAGATTAACCGTTCTAAAAGAATAATAAAATTTTTGAGAATGAAAAAATTACCTGTAATCTCACCATCCCAAATAGTAATTATTGTTATTTCTTACATTTTCTTCCATTCTTTTTAAGAGAGAGTTTAGGCCAGGCGCAGTGTCCCATGCCTGTATTCCCAGCACTTTGGCGGTCAAGGTGGGAGGATCACTTGGGGTCAGACTAGTCTGGGCAACATAGTGAGACCCTGTCTTTACTCAAAATTTTAAAAATTGCGAGGTGCAGGCCAGGTATAGTGGCTTACGCCTGTAACCCCAGCACTTTGGGAGGCCAAGGTGGGCAGATCATGAGGCCAGGAGTTCAAGACCAGCCTGGTCAACATGATGAAACCCCATCTCTACTAAAAATACAAAAATTAGCCAGGCATGGTGGCAGGTGCCTGTAATCCCAGCTACTTGGAAGGCTGAGGCAGGAGAATCACTTGAAATCGGAAGGTGGAGGTTGCAGTGAGCCAAGGTCGCACCACTGTACTCCAGCCTGGACGACACAGTGAAACTCTGTCTCAAAAAAAAAAAAAAATTGCAAGGTGCAGTGGTGCATGCCTGTAGTCCCAGCTACTTGGGAGGCTGAGGCAAGAAGACAGCATGATCCCAGGAGTCTGAGGTTGTTGTGAGCTAGGACTGTATCACTGCCCTTCAGCCTGGGCAACAGAGCAAGACCCTATCTTTAAAAAAAAAAAAAAAAAAGGAAAGAGAGAGCTAACATAGTTGCTGCTGTAGCAGCCATGCTATGCTGTAGCCAGTTGTGTTTTTACTTAGTATTATAACATAAGCATCATTTTTTATATACGTGTCCTAACATACCCAATCCCCTGCTGTTGGGCCATTCAGACAATTCTATTATTTGGTTTTTATCCGCATATTGAAATGAGTCTCTTTGTGCATATAGCTCTTCCTTTCTCTCAGAGCGTTTCTGCTGCTTTCCCAGGTGTGGGCTGACTGAATCCCACACGCGTCTTCATGTGGCTACAGCAGCTGAAATCACCAGCACCAGCTGTGCCCGTGAGCATTTATTTCACCACATGGCTAAACCGCCTGGAGTAGCTTCTTTTTAAAAACAAGGTTCCCTACTTTAATGAGCAAGTAATAGCTCATTGTTTTCATCTGCATTACTTGGGTGACTGAAAACTTTCAACAGGAAGTTCTTTTTCTTGTCTTTTAAATTCCTTTTTAAATTGTAAAGGAATGGACTCTTTAGGTTTTTTAAAAAAGAAAGTGTGTGGCCATGCACCCTGGCTCACGCCTGTAATCTCAGTACTTTGGGAGGCTGAGGAAGGCAGATCACTTGAAGTCAGGAGTTTGAGACCAGCCTGACCAACATGGCAGAAACCCTCCTCTACTAAAAATAAAAAAATTAGCCTGTGTGGTGGAACACGCCTGTAGTCCCAGCTACTCCCGAGGCTGAGGCACAAGAATCGCTTGAACTTGGGAGATAGAAGTTGCAGTGACCCGAGACTGTGCCACTACACTCTAGCTTGGGCAACAGAGCAAGACTCTGTCTCAAAGACAAACAAACAAAACAAATCAAACAGAAAGACCAGGCACAGTGACTCACACCGGTAATCCCAGCACTTTTGGAGGCCAAAGAGGGCGGATCACCTGAAGTCAAAAGTTCGAGACCAGCCCGGCCAACATGGTGAAACTCCGTCTCTAGTAAAAATACAAAAATTAGCCAGGCTTAGTGGCAGGTGCCTATAATCTCTGCTACTCAGGAGGCGAGGCAGGAGAATCTCTTGAACCTGGGAGGTGGAGGTTGCAGTGAGCTGAGATTGTGTAACTGCACTCCAGCCTAGGCAACAAGAGTGAAACTCCATCTCAAAAAAAAAAGAAAAAAGGTTTGTATAGAGTCAAAAAGCTCAAGTTTCCGCTCCCTGCTTTCTCTTGCCTCTGGTCTCACCCATCCTCAGAGGTTAATAGGGCACACCCCTTTCTTTTTTTTTTTTTTTTTTTTTGTTCCCAAAGCATTTAATGCAGATGACAAAAATATATACAGCACAATAGTATTAAAATAGAAAAGAGATCAAGGCAAAGGGGTAATGTATGGCAAAGGAATGAAGTGAACCAAGGCCAGGGATAAAGTCAAGCTACTAGAATAAGGGGGTCAGGGTGAAGGGGGTCCCTTCAATAAATTCCATATACAAATTTCTGAATTTTCTATACAATAGGAAGAGCTGACTCACTGCAAACATAATGTTTTGTTTTAGGAAAGGATTTTGTTAGAGGTGTGTTTAACGGGACTCTCTTCACGTGCATTTGAAGGAAGATATGGCTTACAACAACTTCATTTACACTCTGTTCACAGAACTTTGTGAACAGCGGTCTGTGATTGCCCCTGTCTGTGGAGCCCTAATGGCTGTCCCTGGGCAGGTTATGTCACCTGGAGAGCAGCTGTTCCCCTCGCAGGTGTGGCTAAGCAAGTCAATGAGTTGACATGATGGAGCACTTTCCAGGTGTCTTCGTCCAAGGGAGGTGGCGGGAGGATGGGGCATAGAAGATTGGAGCATGTGCCCAGGAGCTGAGCGAGTGGTGACATGGCTCCTGCAGAGTCTAGGGTTGGGTAGGCCTCCTAGGAAGCTGAGATCTGATATGTTTCATTGGCTCATAATTGCCCATGTATCTCTCTAAGAGTCTCTCTTTGGTTTTTAAAATTAACTGGTAGCTGGGTGCAGTGACTCTTACACGTGTAATCCCAGAACTTTAGGAGGCTAAGGCAGGAGGATCTCTAGAAGCCAGGAGTTCTGAACCAGCCCAGATCTCACTCTGTCCCTGGAAGGTAGCCTTAGAACAGGTAGCTGAAGGCAAAAGGAGAGATGCTGTTGTCCTGCCCATCCCAAGAAGACAGTTTTCTGACTGGGGGCTGGGGAAAGATGCACCTGTCCACAGTAGAGTTTTCATTTTGCTGAGAAAACAGATAGGCGCCAGGGTGGAGCTGGCTTCATAGGTGGCTGCATTCAGGGCTCCTACAAGGCAAGCGGCACCATTTCTCCGTCTCCATCCTGCCATGGACTGTGTTTGCCCTTCTCCGGCTCCTCTTGGTGGCCCCTGCAAGCTCTGGGCTCCATTCTTTTGCTGCTGGGATGGAAACGACCGTTCGCCAGCAGTTCAACCTCGGCACTAGCCACACCCCTTTCTATTCTTTATTTATTTTTAATTTTCATGGGTACCTAGTAGGTGCATATGTTTATGTGGTACGTGAGGTGTTCTGATACAGGCACGCAGTGTAAAAATATGGAATGCTTCATGAATTTGCACATTATTCTGCCCAGGGGTCGTGCTGCATTCCTCCGTGTCATTCTGATTTTAGTATGTGTACTGCTGAAGCACTTCATGATCTTTTTTATGAACTTCACTCCTTCAGCAAGTATTCGTTGAGACCACTTGGGTGGCAGGCCTCCAGCTAGGCATTGGGGATAACAAGGAGAATTAGACAGACATGGCCCTGGTCTCTTGGAGCCGGCATCTAGTGAGAGACACAGGCAAACACAGGAAAGCAAAAGAACAAAAATTAAAATAACTACAATTTGTGGTGAGTTATTTGAAGGAAAAAACAGGGCAGGGTCTTCCTTGGCTGGACTGGTCAGAAAAGATCTCCCTGAGGTGTGGCATTTAAGCCAAGACTTGGAGAAGGGACGAGCTAGGACAAGCTGGGAAAAGCATTCCAAAGGAAGAGGCACGTGCAAAGGCCCTGAGGTTGAGCACTTGGTATGCTTAGAGAACAGAGCAATGAGTACAGCTAGAGCAGGCGGTAATCACAGGCCAAAGAACAGTCAGAAATCACTGAAGATTTGACATTTTTGAATTTTAAGAAGATGACTGGTGGCCAGGTGTGCTGGCTCCCGCCTATAATCCCAGTACTTTGGGAGGCTAAGGCAGGAGGATCACTTGAGACCAGGAGTTCAAGATCAGTCCTGAAAACAAAGCAAGACCCCGTCTCTAAAAAAATTTAAAAATTAGCCAGGTGTAGTGGTGCACGCCTATGGTCTCAGCTACTTGGGATGCTGAGGCAGGAGGATCACTTAGGCCCAGGAGACTGGGGCTGCAGTGAGCTATGATTCTGCTACTGCATCCCAGCCTGGGTAACAGAGCAACACCCTGTCTCAGAAAAAGAGAGAGGGGGAAGAAGGCCAGGTCAGGTCAGGTCAGGTCAGGTAAGGTAAGGTGGGAAAGGAAGGGAAGGGGAGGGGAGGGGAAGGGAGGGGAGGGAAGGGGGAAAGGGGGGAAGGGAGGGAGGGAAGGAGGGAAGAAAAGGGAGGGAGGAGGGAGGGAAAGAAGGGAGGGAGGGGTTGCCCTGTGGAACACAGCTGTAGGTGGGCAAGCAGAGATACTTATTTTTTCCAATAATATTTGTATCAACTCTTCATGTTATAAAGACATTAACTTTTTTGTTATATTGTCTACATATACTTTTCCTTTTTTGCCCTTTATGTTGTATACGGAAATGTATCTTTTGGTTTTTTAGTGTAGAACACTTCATGAGTTTGCGTGTCATCCTTGGATAGGGGCCATGCTAATCGTCTTTGCGTCATTGAAGTTTTAGTGTATGTGTACAAGAAATACAGGAATTTGCTGTTGTTGTTTTTTTTTTAATTTAAAGATTGTATTTACTTAGAAGCATTCAGAATGTCAACAAAACAGCTGTAACTTTTTAAAAAATTACAGAGTGATATGTATGTATGTATGTATGTATGTATGTATTTTTGGAGACAGGGTCTCTGTCACCCAGGCTGGAGTGCAGTGGTACAATCACAGCTCACTGTAGCCTGCACCTCCCGGCCTCAAGCAATCCTCCTCCCTCAGCTCCTGTGTAACTGGGATTACAGATGTGCACCACCATTCCTGGCTAACTTTTGTATTTTTTGTAGAGATGGGGTCTTGCCATGTTGCCCAAGTTTGTCTCAAACTCCTGACCTCAAGCAATCCTTCTGCCTTGGCCTCCCAAAGTGCTGGGATTATAGGCGTGAGCCACCACGCCCGGCCCAAGTGGTATTTAGTTCATTGTATCAGCAATTATTTGTGTAAGCTGCATCAGAGACAACTAAGTATGAAGGCACTACCATCCACATACACAACTAATTTGTGCTGTGCGCCAACAAGAGCATGCTTTAAATTTCCATGGCAATTTATAATCCCCATACTGCACCAGGCAAGGTTGGTGGCTATTGAAAATATTACCAGGACAGGGTTATCTAAAGACACATTGGGTAGTATGTTAACTATACAAAAAACAAACAAACAAATAAAAAAGACACTGTACAGTTTAAAAACAAATCTTACATGGCCTTATATTTTAATTTAGTTCTTTAAAAGGAATGCATTGAGTATTGGTGGAGGTGGGGTGGTGACAGTTAAATACATTATATATGAGAAAAAAACAAACTGCTAGAACCAGTTTATTCATCATCTTTGTTTTCATCTTTCCTTCCTCCTCATCCTCTTCCTCTTTCTCACATTTCTCCCATTCTTTCTTTTTCTTGCTTGTTCAACCTTGAGAGCTCCTTTTTTTTTTGCTGCACCAGGCTTCCCTTTAGCTCGGTGTGCAGCAATATCTTTTTGTACTTTTCGTTGAGCTTTGCGGATGTCTTTTCCTAAGGCTGCTTGTCCTCCTCTGTGGTTTTATAACCTCACGTCTCCTACTTTCTTTGCTGCATCACCGATGGATAGGCTGGGATGTTCTCCTTTGATTTTTTGGGTCATGCTTGGAATAGAACAAGAAGAGGCCAAAGGAGGCCTCTTGGATGCATTGGGCTGCTGGAACTTCTTTTTTGTTTTCCCTGTAGGAAGGATGTAAGTTTTCATTTCCTTTTCCTAGCCAGCCTTGTCCGCCTTTACTGCATCTTCAGATTTTCCTCTCTCTTTAGCTGACATGGTCTTCTACCTCTCTGACTCTCTTAGAAAGCTCTGAGGAGTTGCCTGAAGCATGTGGGTGCTGCTTCTTGTGCCGCTCTCGACAAGCTTGTTGGACAGGGAGTGCCTATGATGACGTTTTGCCTCTTGGCTTCTCAGAGTCTCCTCTGCCCATGTTTAGTTATTTTTCCTCAGTGAGGCACAGGGTCACCCAGTGTCTGTCAGCTCTCACTTGACCCAGCATTTGGGATTTTTTTTTTTTAAACACAGATTTTATGCCAAATCTTTTCTTTTGTGATTTCTTCTATTATTTCTAAACTTAGAAAGTTATCTGGAAAATGCAGCTGGGCACGTGGCTCATGCGTATAATTCCAGCACTTTGGGAGGCCAAGGAGGTTGGATGCCAGGAGTTTGAAACTAGCCTGGCCAACATGGGGAAACCATGTTTGGTGAAACAAGAAATACAAAACTTAGCCAGTGTGGTAACACACACCTGTAATCCCAGCTATCTGGGAGGCTGAAGCATGAGAATCGCTTGAACCCAGGAGGTGGAAGTTCTCCAAAAGAAAGAAAGAAAGAAAAAGAATGTTTTCTGGAAAGTGTTAAATTCCTGAAATAATGTGATGTGATAATTCAGACCATAAGCTTTGCAGTCAGAACTGAATTCAAATTCTGATGCAACTACCTTCTTGCTGTGTGAACTTCCTTAGTTACTTAACTTCTCTGAGTCTTAGTTTGCTCCTCTCCAAAATAAGAGCAATAATACTACTTTGTAACTGTATTTATTATCCTATATTTTCTATCATTTCATGTTTAAAATGTTAATATTTATCTAGAATTAATTTTTATATAGTGTGAGGGGAGGCTCTCTACCAATTTTTTTAATTTAAAATTTTTAATTTCTGTGGATACATAGTGTATATATTTATGAGGTACATGAGATGCTTTGATACCAGCATGCCATGTGCGATAATGACATCATGGAGAATGGGGAATGGGGTATTCATCCCCTCAAGCATTTATCTTTTGTGTTACAAACAATCCAATTACCCTTATTTTTAAATGTACAATTAAGTCATTGTTAACTATAGTCATCTTGTTGTGCTATCAAATAGTAGCTCTTATTCGTTCATTCTACCTTTTTTTGTACCCATAAATCAATTTTGTTTTCAAGTTATTTCACTTTGGCCCTTAAAACTTCTTTCTGGGAAATAGGACAGTTGTTAAGAACAAAAAGGAATAACTATCGTGTTTAAACACCTGCTCTCTGCATGGGGTTTCCTGTACTTTACATAATCCTTCTGACAGCTCTCCCAGGCAGGTATTGTTATCCCCCATTCCAGACAGGGAAACTGGCACCCAGGAAACAGCTTAGTAGGGCCAAAGCGAGAGTACTAAGAAAGGCTGACTCCCATCTAGAAAGGCCGGTAATGAAGATTAAAAGGTTGAAGGACAGATGAGAGAGTGGGGCTATGTTTTTGATGTGGTGCCATTTGAGCTGACATAGAGGTGAGATTGCAAGGCTGGGGAAGGGGCAGCACAGAGGGCTTGAAGATCCATTACAGGTAAGAAGTGGGTAAAATTAAGGCCAGGGATCCTGGGTGTTATAGGGCCACCCCGGACCCATCTGAGGGGAGCCCATCCTCATGCATCTTCTGTATTTTCAGGTCAGAGCTGAAGTCCTGACGACATTTGCCCTCTGTGGATTTGCCAATTTCAGCTCTATTGGGATCATGCTGGGAGGCTTGAGTGAGTCTAATGGGGGTTCACCAGTGTCTGGGAGAGCCGGAGACTAGAACTTGCTGGGGACGTGGAGGCTTCAGTTGTCTCATTTTTCTAAAGCAGGGCCCAAGCAAGATGGCCATAGAGGCCGGGCGTGGTGGCTTGTGCCTGTAATCCCAGCACTTTGGGAGGCTGAGGTAGGTGGGTCACTCGAGACCAGCCTGGCCAACATGGCAAAACTCCATCTCTACTAAAAATACAAAAATACAAAACTCCATCTCTACTAAAAATACAAAAATTACCTATGAATCCCAGAAACTCGGGAGGCTGAGGCACGAGGATGCTTGAACACATGAGGTGGAGGTTGCAGTGAGCCAAGATCACACCACTGTATTCCAGCCTGGGCGACAGAGTGAGAGTTTCCTTTTAGCCCTAGAATTCCGATTCTCTGCTGCTGGTGGTGGCCCAGGAGGTCAGCACCTGGTCCTTGAAGGCCAAGCCTGGCTCAGGAGTGGGAGGTATGGTGCTGGCCTGTCCCCAAGGCTATGGTCTGCCTTTTCCCACACCCACAGTGGACAGGCAGGCAGGCCTGGTGGGGCCTAGGGTCAAAGAGTCTGCCCAGTTCTTAGTTCTTTACAAATAACATTTCCACTCCCGGCTGCTACCCTGCCTGCTGGTGAAATCACCCCATTTTACAAAGAAGGAAACTGAGTCTTGGAGAAGTAAAGCGTGGTTCAGGTCCCTCGGCTAGCGAGTGGCTGAGCCTGCATTTCATCCCAGGTCTGCCTGGCTCCAAACTCAAATTCTTTTCCTGCATCTGCCACGGATGGTGTGTGGGCACGTGTGGGTATTGCCTCCAGGCCAGGCTGAAGAGGGCTCCTGAGCTCAGCAAGTGGCTCGGAGGACAGCGTCTGTCCCCCTGGCCATCTATTTTTTTTTTTTTTTTTTTTTTTTTTTGAGACCGAGTTTCGCTCTTGTTACCCAGGCTGGAGTGCAATGGCACGATCTCGGCTCACCGCAACCTCCGCCTCCTGGTCTCAGGCAATTTTCCTGCCTCAGCCTCCTAAGTAGCTGGGATTACAGGCACTGCGCCACCATGCCCAGCTAGTTTTATTGTATTTTTAGTAGAGACGGGGTTTCACCATGTTGACCAGGATGGTCTCGATCTTTCGACCTCGTGATCCACCCGCCTTGGCCTCCCAAAGTGCTGGGATTACAGGCTTGAGCCACCGCGCCCGGCCCCCCTGGCCATCTATTAATAGAAGAGGAAGGGAGGTCAGCAGATGCCGCCGGAGCTAGAGAATGTGGGCAGAGATGGGCACAGCTTCCCTGGCCCTGAGCACTTCTGTCCCCTTGCAGCCTCCATGGTCCCCCAACGGAAGAGCGACTTCTCCCAGATTGTGCTCCGGGCGCTCTTGACGGGGGCCTGTGTGTCCCTGGTGAATGCCTGCGTGGCAGGTGAGTGCAGGCCTGGCAGGCTCAGAATGTGGAACCTTGATTTTCTGGTTAGCCCGGGGGCCCTGCCAACCCACCGCTTTCCCATCACAGGCATCCTCTACGTGCCCAGGGGGGCTGAAGTCAACTGCATGTCCCTCCTGAACACGACCCTCAGCAGCAGTAGCTTTGAGGTATATCAGTGCTGCCGCGATGCCTTCCAGAGGTAAGGGCGTGAGCTATGGGGCCTGCAGGGAATCCGGCGATGGGGCACAGAATGCCTGAGTGCTGGGGGGGATGCCTTTGGTACCAGGGTGAGGGTAAAAATGTTATGGCTGCAGCTGATGGGGAAGTGAAGGCTCGAGGACCAGTGGAGGAAGGGTGGATCAGAGACTTGAAGCAATATTCCCAGCGTTGCACAGCCTGGCCGTGGCCAGCAGAGCCAGCCTGGAGAGCTCACACTGCAATCTTTGCTTTTTTTTTTTTTTTTTTTTTTTTTAGCATCAACCCAGAGTTCAGCCCAGAGGCCCTAGAGAACTGCTGCCGGTTTTACAACCACACGATCTGTGCGTAGCGCGGACAGAACCTGTTTGTTCTTCTGACCTTCCCTTTCCCAGGGCCCTCCTCAGGGAAGCCACGAGACTCGGCCCCAGCTCAGTCCCACAACTGGGAAGGGGGTCATGGAGTGAGCGTGCAGAGAGTGAGTGGGGACATCAGAAAGGACATGTCCTACTGCACCTCCTTCCTCCTCCCCCATTTTCAACCTCCCCCAGTGCGAATTCTCGGGGTCACCTCTGCCTCCTCCCCCTTCCCTTCCACATCGAAGCAGCACCCTGGTCCTCTCTTTCCCCCTCTCCTGGGGTCCCTCACATGCCCCTTCCTTTCTGTTGTGGGTGCACACCAAAGCCTCCTCCCCTCCCCACCTGGGCACCAGGGTCTATCTGTGGCTTCCCCTGCCAGGTGGTGTGGCCCCTTTCTCTGCTTTCAGAGACTCCCTTCCCACCTTCCCTCAGAGCGCTTCCCCAGCTGAGGTCCCATGGCACACTCCCGGGACGCGTTTAGAGAGTTCCGTGATCCACTAGATTTGGAAACACTGGGTCAAATAAAGAGCGGGCTATTTGGACCTTGTATTTATTTTTTGTTTTTGTTTTTTAACTGTGGACTTGTCAGTGCTTGGTGTGGATAAGAGGCTTTTTCCAAATTATTTAACCGTAAGAACCTTTTTAAAATTATTTATTTATTTTTATTCCACTGAACTTAGGAGCAAAGAACCTTTTTTTAAAGACACGATCTCACTCTGTCACTCAGGCTGGAGTGTGGCGGGGTGATCGTGGCTCACTGTAGCCTCAACCTCTGAGGCTCAAGCAATCATCCCTTCTCAGCCTCCTAAGTAGCAAGGACTGCAGGCACGTGCCACCATGTCCAGCTAATTTCTATGTTTTGTTTTGTTTTGCTTTTTAGTAGAGACGAGATCTTGCTATGTTACCCAGGGCTGACTCAAGTGGTCTGCCCACCTTGGCTTCCCAAAGTGTTGGGATTACAAACATCACTCGCCGTACCTGGCCCCTAAGAAGCTTTTTGATGGAAGTATCTCAGTTGAAGATTTCATGGAATACAACTTGGGAAATATTGGCCAGTGTTCAAACTGCTTTACTCTACATAGCTGTAATATTAGCAGATGCTTATGTGGCACTGTGTGCCCGGCACTGTTCTCAGAGCCTTCTATGTTTGAACTCAGTCCTTACAACTCCTTGAAGCACATGTTAAATTTCACTAGTTGAGGAATCAGAGGCGTGGACAGGTTAAGTCATGTGCCTAAAGGGACACAGCTGGGAAGAGGCAGAGGCAGGATTGGAGCCATGCCACCTAGTTCTGGGTGGGCTAGGAGTGTCCTGGGCCCATCTGAAGGGAGCCCCACCTCATGCATCCTCGGTATTTTCAGGTCAGAGCTGAAGTCCTCATAACACAAACTGGGATCTGGATTCTCTCTGTTGGGCTGCTGGTGTTCAGAGAACCCTCCGTGGGGCCCACCCTCACCTCCTTCCCTGCCTTTCCTCCCCACCCCAAGGCCTGTGTGCCACTAGGAGAGGCCTGACGTCCCTCCCCTGCCTGTGTTTCTGGAGTTCCTGTCACCAGTGTGCCTTCTCCATCTCCCTGCCGCCTGTCCTGCTCCAATCTCAATTCTCATTTCCCACTGCAGCTTTGGCTTCGACCTGCAATGCTCCCTGCCCTGTGGCTGCTGGGTCCCTGCACCCTCACCCCTACCTGCCAGGTTCAACTTCCTTCCCAGTTCGGGCTGGCCTTGGCCTAGGGCAGCGGGAGGATGGAGCTTTGGGCGGCAGTTTTTCAGCTCAGTCCCAGAGAGCCAGGTCTTACTTCTGTTCTGCCACAGATTTTGGTTCCAATGGGCAGCAGCGTCACAGGGTGACCTGGGTCCCGATCCTCAGGACCTGTGTCCTTCCCTTAGCTCCGCAGAGTGGAGGCTTGGCGGCCTCCTGTAGCTCCAGCTAGGCTATTGCTTTCTCTCTGCAGCCCTCCTTCAGTCCCTGCCACCTGCTCCAGCTGCCCTTGGACTGTGGGCAGGGTGCCCTAATGCTGTGGACTATATAGTCCTCTCCTAGGATTGGCCCTCCGCCCCTTCCCTGCCCATCTGTTGGCCTCAGCTCTACCAGCTGGGTCATGGAACAGCCCAAGGACTGTCCTTGGCCTCCTTCTCTGGTGCAGGGAGTCCAGTGGCCTTTCCTAGAAGACTGCAGGCCCCTTGAATATAAGACTCACAGTGTACCCTTGTGTCTTAGTCAGTTTTGGCTGATAACCAAATACCATAAACAGGATAGCTTATAAACAAAAGGAATGTATTTCTCACAGCTCTTGAGGCTGGGAAGTCCAAAATCAAGGTGCTAGAAGATGTGGTGCCTGGTGAGAGCCTGTTTCTGGTAGGTGACCCTTCTCCCTGTGTCCTCACTTGGCAGCAGAGGCCAGTGAGCTCCCTGGGGCCTCTGGCCTAAGGACACTAATCCCATTCATGTGGGCTCCACCCTCATGACCTTATCTCTTCCCAAGGGCCCCACCTCCTAATATCTTCACCCTGGGGGCTAGGATTTCAGCATCTGAATTTTGAGGAGACATGAACATTCAGAACATAGCACATAGCAGTATAAGCTGTTAACAAGAGGGGACAATGGGTGTGGGGTATATAAGAGCTCTGTGGTATTGGTGTGTTGTTTTTTAAGTCTAAACTATTGAAAAATTGAAAAGTTTATTTTGTAAATGGCATGGGGAAAAAAAAAAACTGTGGACACAGATGCCGTGTAACTTGTAATCCAGCCCGAGGGTAGCTCTGTCCTAGACAATGCATGCCCCAGTAGGCAACCCGCCAAGGTCTGTGAGTTGACCAGTGGACTACATTGACCCCCCCTTCTGCCCCTTTCTTCCCATGGTCGTGCTCTCACCTCCACTACCCCTTCACTTTAATTCAAACTCATGCCTTCAGCTGAATGTTAATTAATCCTGAGCTCTTTGCAACCACATGAAGAATATCATCTGCTTGAAATTACTTTTGACTCGGGATCAGTGAACCCTGAGGTTGGACAGGACCTTAAACATTATTTTGAGGGTGTGTACCTCCCCACCCAGCTTTTCTGAGAGCGTGTACACCCACTGCATGGATGGCCTCTGTCACCATGTTTTTATGTTTTAGTCATGAGACTCCATTCCCATGAGGGATTTGCTATTGAACCAGGACTGAACGCCTGACTCAGGGCAGGCCAAATCTGTAATATTGCCAATGGCCTTTCAGATTCTCAGGAAAGAATATGAATTATAAAACCCAGAAACAGAGCTGGGAGCTGAGTCACCACAGTGGGGTGATGGCTTGGAGCTGATCTCGTTCCCTCCCTTCCTGCAGCCCAGTTGTTCAGCTTTTCCTTGGATTCTGTGAGAGCCGAATTCATTCCAGAAATCCCCCTCTAACCTAAGCTAATTGAGAAAGTTCCTTTTTGTAATGAGAAGGACATTGCCGAGGATAGTCACTTTGTTAACCCCCTCTTCTGCTTGATATCAAGTGGTCATTCATCATTTGCTTAAATCTCATCAAGAGAAGAACCTCACGCCTCTTAGTGTTACTCACTTCATATTGGAGAGCTGTACTTCTGAGAAGGTTCTTTTTTGATTTTGCATCAAAAAGTGTTTCACTTTGATCCATCCCGGTTTTGCCATTCTGGGACACTGTGAGTGGATCTCATCTCATATGTATCTCTTTGTTGTCCTTTTTCCTACTTACCAAAGTAATACTTGCTCGTTAGTTTTAAAAAGTCAAATCTTAAACCTTACAGAAATGTTTTAATCCCCTTTCCACATGACAGTCTTTGAACCGTTTGAAGATGGTGCCCACCTAGGCTTCCCTTCTCTGAGGCAGGCACCCTTAGGTCTTTCAGTTGTTTCTCATGTAACACATAGCAAGGTTTCAAAATGTGCTCCAGCTCTGATTCGAAGTTGTCCTGCATTTGTGTGCAGACAGTGGGTGAGTCATGAGCAAGTCTAAGATGAAGCCAGAACACAGCATGGTAAATATGATCTCATGGGTGTAACCAAGATGATGTGATGAGACTAAAGATTGGCTATGGTCTTAGGAGGATATTCGAAAGAGGCAGACTTATTAGGAAGGGTGCTTTGCTTTGTTGTTTTGTTTTGTTTACGGTGGGATCTCTGTTGCCCAGGCCTCTGTGCAGTAGTGCAATCCTGGCTCACTGCAGCCTTGATCTCCTGTGCTCAAGGGATCCTCCCAAGTAGCTGAGACTACAGGTGCATGCCACCATGCCTGGCTATTTTTAATTTTTATAGAGATGGCAGGGAGTCTCTGTTGCCCAGGCTGGTCTTGAACTCCTGGCCTCAAGTGATCTGCCCATCTCTGCCTCCCAAAGTGCTTGCATTACAGGTTTGAGCCACTGTGCCCAGCCTTAGGAAGTGTGTTAAGAAGCCACCTGCCTGCTTCAGAATCCTCAAATCCGAGGGCTTACATGTAACACTTGAGGAGCAGCTGTCATTTAGGAGAGAATGAGAGAAAGTCCTGGCCTGGATCACAAAGGCATTATCTCTAGGACACAGTAGCAGTGGGGTGGGAAGGACCTCATCTATGGGGGCATCCTACTTGCTCACCATCAAGGGGTCCAACAAGTTCCCACCTTGCCTGGAGGTTGCTTTCCATTTCTCGAGAGAAAGAAATTGTTGCTTTGGATGAAGTTCTGACAAAGATATGGAACGGTAGCGTGGGAGCAATTTGCCAACAGAGACTTGGTCCCTGGCAGGGACGGGAGGCAGCAGGGCCAGGCGCTTATCCCACACTTGCGTATGAAGGCATTTAGGAAAGAGACTCTGCAAGGAAAGGCAGCGCTTGAATTGAACCCTGTCTCTGCTGGGAAAAATATTCTAGTGAGGAAGGAAAGGCAGAGGTGACAACAGAAATCAACGTGGCTATGAGTGAATAGCAAGGATCTCATTCATAAACTCAAAATTTGAACGTATCAGGCAACACCATCAGGCCGAAGGACCCATGTAGAAAGACAGCCGGCTGTCTTCCTCTTGCCAGTCTCCCACCCTCTTTTTTTTTTTTTTTTTTTTTTTTTGAGATGGAGTTCCACTCTTTTACCCAGGCTGGAGTGCAAGTGGCGCGATCTCAGCTCACCACAACCTCCGCCTCCTGGGTTCAAGCAATTCTCCTGCCTCAGCCAGGCACTGTGGCTCATGCCTGTAATCCCAACACTTGGGGAGGCTGAGGTGGGAGGGGTTTAAGACCAGCATAGTGAGACCTCTTTCTATAAAAAATAAAAAATGAGCTGGGCATGGTGGTGTGCGCATGTAGTCCCCGCTACTTAGGAGGCTGAGGTGGGAGGATCACTTGAGCCCAGAGGATTGAGACTGCAGTGAGCTGATAGCACTACTGCACTCCAGCCTGGGTCATGAGAGTGACTCTGTCTCAAAAGAACAAGAAAAAAGGCCAGGCAGCCGGGCGCGGTGGCTCAAGCCTGTAATCCCAGCACTTTGGGAGGCTGAGGCGGGTGGATCATGAGGTCGAGAGATCGAGACCATCCTGGTCAACATGGTGAAACCCCGTCTCTAC